ACAAACTCCACATCTTTTTTTTGTTGCATTTTGTGACTCCTGTATTTTGTGTTGGCTAAATTTAGATGAGGTTAATATGTGTTTTAGGTTTCTAGATTGGCGTTTGCTCTTAATTATTTTGGTTGTTTTTAGTATATTATTCAGTTTATTATTCTTGCTAAGTAAATCTAGATTTTTTGTGATTTCTGGGAATATTTCTGGGTTGTTTTTGTTGTATATATATCAAACAGACAATTACTCGTATCTACAAATACAGGAAAAAAAACTTTATAGACAAATTCAAACCCGAACTGAATAGATCGTAACCCCCCACAAAAAAAAAAAAAAAAAACATGCACACAGGGTGACCAAATACAATGATCAAATCGCTCACATACATGGACGCACACCATATACGGGGAGACACGAGGAGATATATATGTGTGTATGTACACATACATACATTTATGTATGTATATGCGGATGTTGACAACTTAAAAAGCGTGTGTGTGTGTGTGTGTGTGTGTGTGTGTGTGTGTGTACTGGTTCCATGTAGCTTGGGAAATATGTGTATATGTGTGTGTGTACTGACTACTTGTGGTGGGATAGTGTGTATGTGCATATGTGTGTATGCGTGTATAAGTACAAATAAGTTTACGAATTCCTCGTAGTAAGGAAATATACGCACGCATATATACACGCATGCTGACAGGAACACACCAAAATAGAAACAGATCCAAGAGCACATAGAGGTCACTAAAACATTAAAAGATTAAATGCCGATAACTACTCGCTGGACAAACCTTAATTGTTTTATGACCCTTCACAAGAGAACTCTTCATTGACAATTCTAGAAAGAAAATTCGGATTGCCAACACACAAACAGAATGTCTCATATCGAGAATATTCCACATTGAACATGAAGAAAAATTAATTATTTTTAATAATATGTAGAAATCTCCACTTTCACCTGAAGACGGTTATAGACCAGAAACACGGTCGTGAAATTATGTAAAACAAAGTATAATATTTTTTCTCAATAAATCCACATTACAACCAAAAACGTTTGTGGCACCACCCTTCTTTTTAATATATATATATATATATATAATAAAAAGGCTTAAACACTAATATTCCATGGTCATAATTTATTCCATTGGAATCGTAAATACGATCCAAATCATCAGACCTACAAATTCAAAATGAAAACAGAAAAAAACCACTCCGGAAATCAAAACAGAATTTAGAGAAAGTGTAAGTATGAGGAGGAGGGACATGAAACCTTAACAGAGAGAATTTTAGGAGATGTTTGGGAATTTATAAAGAGGAGAGAAAATATACATGTATGGGAATATTTTATATATATTTTACATATGTATGTATATTTTCCACTAATATTATCTATATATATATATATATATATATATATAGAGAGAGAGAGAGAGAGAGAAAGAGAGATTTAATAGGCCAGTTAATGAAATTTGAGGACTAAAAAGCCAACAAAATGAAAATGATAACAATACTGGCAATAAAGTTGATGATATTTATTATACATTATCCATTTGACTAAATTGAAGTATGAAAAGAAAGATTTTAAAGTCAGACACATAACAGGTGCTACCATCTGAGGTCAGTATACCCAAGAGTGAAATTGAAATTAATTTGGTAATAAATTGAATTATCATCTGGAATTGTCCAATTTTTAACTCCTTATTTAACAGGTTTTAATGAGTTTAAGCAATTAGGATCAAGTAAAACAATCCCTCACTAGAAAAATTACAATTGAATTCAAATATCTCTGCTAGAAAAAATCATGGCTAAAATTAAGTAAAAGAATGCTTTTTTAATGAAAATCTACAATTTTGACTTGTCTTTGATGTCAAAAACATTTGATAATTGACCAGAGGATGAGATCACCAAAGAAATTCCACTGACACTGTTGCAATACACATATGACTAGAGGTTTCCTTATAAGGAAACATTTGGCATTCATTGGCCAAACACTAGGTGCTACATTTGGTTGAAATTTATAAAATCTTTCTCTTAAAACAATTTTTCAGAAGACGAGGTTCCTCAAGTCCAGTAGTTTTTATTGCTCTTCCAGTAGTAATGGGAGTTTCCTTCCCTAATCTAGTTGCATAGAATGTCAACATCATGATTATGCTATTATTTTCTTTTCAAGTTACATGTGCTACCGATTTTAGTTGTTGCTGTTGTCCTCAAGTGATGTAGCTTCTGTTATTTGATACAGTTCTTTGTGGTTCTGTAGCACCAGTTCACAAGGTTTGATTAAGGATGGTCCTCTCTAAAACCTACAGGCTTTATTCCCTCAAAGCCATTTTTAACAATTGATCTGAGAAAGTATTCATATACAGTTCAGTCACAAGTTGGAGGCAATGCTGTCATTTTTGTGATATGTGGGAATAAGGCTGACATATATTAACTCACAAACCAGCCATAGTAGAAACAACACCACAGAAATGAGAAAGGTTAAACCCATGGTTCACATGGAACGCATGCCCTACAGGGGAAATATGAATTTTAAAGGGGGATAATTTGAGAATATGTTATTAACAATGAATTTTTTTCTAGCGAGTCTGAGTGGGCATGCAAGTTAATACACACACATGCATATACAGTATGCATACATAAAAATATTTGTCTGTATGTATGTTTATGTGTAATTATGTATGTACTATTAATATATATATATATATATATATATATATATATATATATATTATTCCATGACCCACAGGGTCATAGGGGCACCATGTGTAACTACAGCCACAGCAGAAATGGTGTTTCTTGGGCAAGATAGCTTGACAGAGCCCAACCTTCTCCAGGTCGATTTTGAATTCAGAGTTACCTTCTCCTAGACTGATTGCCACCTAGGGCTATAGAAACCAGTCTGTCCTACTATTTACCCATCACTGGGGGAAGAAGAAGAGGAGGATTCATACCTTTCCCAAGGGTATTAGGACATAAGTGAATGTAATGCATCCAACTGGAATTTGAACTCAGCTCTCCAATTCCTCCATACACACACACATATATATATATATATATATATATATATATCCAAATGAGAGAAAGAACAGATGAAGTAAAATTCTACTGTTCATAGCATTTGCTTATAAAAAATGCTCAATACAAAGTAGAGCAATATATTATTATAAGATATAACAAAAACATGTTAAAATTGCTACACGATTTCAACATGCTTATGTTATATTATTATATATATATATATATATATATATATATATAGATATATATATATATTACAATTACTTAGTAATTTCTTCCTTGGTACTTAAACTGTCCTTTTGTTCTTTAATTTTTTCTTTCATGGATACCATATTCTTTGGAAGCTTGATTAGACCAAGTTAACGGCATTTTAGGCTTCCTCCATATGAAGAGTTCACTTTTTGAATAATAAGAATTATATGTCACAAGATGGAGGTGTCAGGATTTTAGGGATGTTTGGGTGGAGTATGGCCAAAAATAGGTTGGGAACTATTGAGTTAAACCCTTGACAAATAAACAGTTATTGTTTCTACAAGAAAACACTGATTGTTTATTGTAAAATTCAACTCCTCAAAAATCAAATATCTTTCAAAGAAAGTTAGTAAAAGTAAAGATTCATTTTTTTGTTTATTAACAATTAACAGAATTTTGGAAAATTATTATTTACTTTATGCTTAAAATATTGCCAAAAACACACATTTAAACAAAACTTTTGAATCCATTACATTCACTTATATGCTAATACCCTTAGGAAAGGTATGATTTCTCTTCTCCCCCCTCCTCCAACCTATGGGTAAATAGCAGGACAGACTGGGTTCTATAGCCTTGGATGGCAACTGGTCTACTGCAGAAAGAAATGGCAACCTACTGTGGGAGAAAAAAATCTGCTTTGTCAATCATGTATCGAAAGTATGTATCATGCATGGCACATAACTGACTGATGTATATTCCACCCATCAACAAGTTCAAAAGTCAAGCAGTAACACTTACCCCATGACACCCACTTTAAAAAATCTGCCTCAAATTTAATTAAATACAGATGACCAAAAACTGCCTAAATACAGAAACTGGTTTCATTTATGCCTAAACATAATTATTTTTAACCTTAAGTTAAGGTTAAGAATATATTCTATAGGCCTTTATGAAATTTAGTAGGATGAATGGTTTTTTTTTTCATATATTATTAGGAATAATAATAATAATCAAAGGAGGTAATTCAGAATTATTTCTTATTTGATTTAATAGCTGTAAAAAAGAAAAGAAAATTTGTTAAAAAAATATATGAGAAAATGACATTAAATTTTACATTTTTCAGTTCTTCAAATAAATCTTTATTTAATCTTAAAAAAAATAAAACAAAAAGATCTCTTTTGTTATCAGCAAATAGAATAATTTCAAAATCTCATAGAAAAAGTAATTTTTAAAAAATAAATATTCATTGTAGATTTTTCCATCAAAATGTAAATTATACAAACACAAACCCCTTTTTTTTTGTAAATTTGCAGGACAAATTTTCAATAATTTTTTTTTTTTTACTAAAATAACATCTTCAGGTATTTTTTATTATAAACCTATAAAATATTTGTCACCATCCCCAATTTTAAAAGCAATTCATGATCAAAGGTGGGAATGATTGACCAAAAATACAATATTTAAACGGCGATATTGAGTACTTTTCCCCTGTAAATAAATTAATTAGTAAAATTTTAATTAAAATTTAATAGTAGTTTAAATTATTAAAATTTAGTTATTAAATAATTATTTAAAATAAATTTAATTAAAGGGTCTGTAATGCTACATAATATCAGTAAATTAATTTATGTTAGCATGAAAAACATTTCAAATTTAATTAGAATACAACTTGGTATTATTACTAGTCTTCAACGTTAGTCTTAAAAGGAAGAGAATGTTGGATTTGTAATTCCGTTCAACCTTTATTCCACCGGAAGAAGACAAGGGCAAATAACTCTTCTTCCACGTGGGTAATAAAAATGGATGATGACCTGACGCTCAATTTGTTCTGTCCCGAGATTAAACAAAAAATAGTACCTGAAAAAGCGAAAGAAAACGTCTGGAGAGGCCGACAAGATAGGATCAGGGAAAGAAGGCTATTAAAGGAACGGGCAAAATCCATCAACAAAGCGAAAGTTTCTGCTAACGACGAACACATTGACTATACCACATATCATCAAAGTGATGCCACTTCGACGATAACAACCAATGAAACTAATGATGATGATCATAAACCAAAGAAAGTCAGGACAAAACGTAAAAACGATGGATCGGAAAACTTCGTCCCTGTTCCTGCTAAAAAACATAAACAAGATGGGGTTCATTTCTCTTCCCTTTTCAAATCTAACCCAGAAATCCCGACCATCAACACGAAACCTGTAGATTCTATTAAAGAAGAAGTTTTTTCTGCCGACTCGTTTGAAAGTCTCTCTCTGGACACGTATATGCTTCGGAACCTTCGAGACAATATGAAGTTTACTAAAATGACAAACGTACAACAGCAGGCCATCCCACCTATTTTAAAGGGTGTCGACACACTCGTAAAATCACAAACCGGTACAGGTAAGACTCTAGCTTATGCCATCCCTATTGTACACACCTTACAGTCGATCCGCCCAAAAATCAAGCGGGTTGACGGTGTTTTTGCTATTGTAATTGTGCCAACACGTGAGCTTGCCCTCCAAAGCTTCGAAACGTTTCAGAAATTAGTCAAGCAGTATCAGTGGATCGTTCCTGGTTGTACAATTGGCGGCGAAAAACGTAAAGCTGAAAAGGCTAGGGTACGGAAAGGAATTAATATTTTGTTGGGCACCCCGGGTCGCCTCGCCGACCACGTTCTACACACTAAAAGTTTGCACTTCTCAAAACTTCGATATCTCATTATCGATGAAGCTGATCGACTCTTTGATATGGGTTTCGAAAATGATGTTAAATTAATCATAGAGATGATTAAGGAGAAAGTAGTCACAAAACAGACTGTCCTTTTGTCGGCTACGCTAACAGATGGAGTTGAAAAGTTAGCTGGAATGTCGCTTGTGTCTCCCCTGAGGATCGATGCATCTCAGGAAGAAACGACCGACGGTGTTGGCCCAAGCAGTGAAACACAAAATATTAGCACCGGGAACGAAAATCATGAAGGATGCCTTTCCTTTTCAGTACCTGAAAAACTCAAGCAGCTTTTTTTAGTGACGCCTTGCAAATTACGTTTGGTGTCTTTGATTGGCTTAATTGCTGACAAATGCGTCATATCGAATCAGAAATCAAAAATAATTATTTTCCACTCAACACAGGACTCTGTTGAATTTCATTACCGCCTATTCTCTGATTTGTTCCTTAAAGACAATGAAGCTGTTTCAGACATCCAAGCTTTGTTGGCCGGTCAAAATTCTCAGCAGAAAACCAAACCCGAAAAGTTGGTAAAGTTCTACAAACTGCACGGAAATATGAATCAAAAAGATCGAACTAAAACATTTATAAAATTTTCCAGTTGTCACAGAGGAGTTCTTCTTTGCACAGACGTGGCTGCTCGAGGCTTACATTTACATAACATAAAATGGATTATACAGTATACAACACCTGGAAACTCGAAAGAATATATTCATAGAGTTGGCCGCACGGCTCGTGCCGGTGCTCAAGGCAATTCAATTTTGTTTGTAATGCCTTCTGAGACTGAATACATCAACACGCTTAACAGCATGAAGATCAACATGAAGGAAATAACAATACGAAACGTTTTACAGAATTTGTTATTACTATTGGATAGACTGTCAAAAATTCTTGAAGCTAACCGACGATCACCAAGAACATATGAGGAAGCCGCAACAGCATTCCAAGTCTATATTGAGAAAACTGTACATGACAATCCAGAAATGCTAGACTTGGCAAAAAAGGCATTTCAGTCATTTGTTCGAGGTTATTCGACTTACCCTAAACATTTAAAATCAATTTTTCATGTGAAATATCTCCATTTAGGTCACCTGGCCAAAAGTTTTGGCCTTCGAGATGCACCTGGCGGTTTTGCTGGAAATTCTTCCAACAAGAATTTGTCAAGGAAAAAAAATTTCAACAAAGAACATCCAAGATTGGACTTCAATAAGCCAAAACAAATTGCTAAGAAATCCCCAAAAATGTCAGAATTTTCAAGTGGACTTAGCTTTTGAATTTTTTTATTATAACATGGAGATATATATATATATATATATATATATATAAAAAAAAGAAAGAACAGTAAGATATAAAATCCGTGTTCTTATAGATATTTTATTTTACAAAATAGTGCTCAATGTAAATTTACAGAGCATTAATATTATAAATTAATTGATTTAAAATATGGTTATTTTCGCTACACAGTTCCAACCATGTTTCAAAAAAATAGAAGCTAAAAACCCTAATTTTATTTTTGCAAATAAATTAAAAGCATTAGTTCTATTTCATCTTCAAGCGAATTTTGGAGTAACTTTTTAAAATTTACCGGTTTTAAATACACAGCTAAAATCACGTTTCCATGGTTACAGAATATTCTACTCAAATTGAACACGGGTGTCTAGATTTTCCTTTTTTTTTTTTTTTTTTTTTTAAAATTCAGACGACATCCATTCAACCGACGTCAAGTGTAAAATACATCCTCACCCCTTACCAAAATGTAGCTAATAACTGATACAATGATACTGTCATAAGGAAAATCTAGACACCCCGTGTTCAATTTGAGTAGAATATTCTGTAACCATGGAAACGTGATTTTAGCTGTGTATTTAAAATAAATTTTAAAAGTTACTCCAAAATTTGAATGAAATAGAATATGCTTTTAATTTATTTGCAAAAATAAAATTATATATATAAATATATATATATATATATATATATATATATATATATATATTACACACATTTTTTTACTATTCTCATCACATTCTGCTATAGTCTCTTCTGTTTCCTTCAAGTCTGTTGCATCTTGTAGTCTTTAAAAGTCATTTTGCTTGTACATTTTTAATTTTTCTCTCTATTTACATTCTCGCAAACAGAACTGAGTTGTAAAATCTTGTGTTTGTAGTCATCACATGAGAACAAATAAAAATGAAAGATCTTTGTCTATGCCATCTGGATTTTTCTGATGAAAAGTTATCATTATTTATGTTCGGGCTATTGTCCTCGTCTTTGTTGTTATTACCAGTATATTTTGTCCGTTTCCCTCCTTTCTCAAGCTTTTTCAGGTGTCAGTCAATCGGGGTTTTCAACTAAACCTTTGATTTAATCTATAGGAGTAGATTGTTTGCATTTCACAGTCCATGTCTAGAGATCTCTCGTCTTGTTCTTATCTAGTATTGACTCAGTTATTGCTTGCTATATTTGCATTGAATCTAAGTCTGTACTACCCGGCCCAAGGATTGAACTTGCAATTATTATATCACCAAATTCACAAACCAATCTCTGGGCTGGGTAGTTCACTGTGGGAATATGACGAGCAATAACTGAGCATTACTAAATAAGACCAAGACATGTGTAGACATGGATAACAGAATGGGAATCTATCTTACAGATTAAATAAAGGGTTCTATTCGAAAATTCCTGAAGGATACTTGGATTGACAGACACCTGAAAAAAGGCCAAAGAGCAGAACAACTAAAACTTTGATAATAACAACAAAGACAAATCCGAATATATGTCAATAGACTTTGTCTTTCTTATTAAGCAATTTATTATTTTATTGATTTCTATTATAGGAAACAATAACATATTCTTAATGCCATGAAAAAAAGTTTTTTTCACATGGCTTTGTGTCAACCCCTGAAATATAGAAGACCTAAAAGCTGGAATTAGTTTTTTTTTTTTTTTTTTTTTTTTCTACATGGGTGTTAAATTTTACACCATCCCACCCCTGTTCCTGCTAAAAAAAACTTAGACTGTTTTTTTTCTTTTTTTTTCCCCATTCTCAACTCAAAACCCAGAAATCCTAACCATCAGCATGAAACAGATTATATTAAAGACGTCTTATCTGCCAGTTCCTATGAAAGTATTTCTCTGGACACATATGTTTCAAAACAACACAAAGTTCAATAAAATGACAAATTTACAACCACAGATAATTCCACCAATATTAAAGAGTTTCTATTTTTGTCTTAATTTTTGACAAACTTTGTTTATTTCTATAGATTTTTCATGTTCTGTATCTAGTCAACATCCACTTGAGGAAGGCTGAAGAATGAAGCAGCTGAATGTTGTGCTATAAGCAGTACAGATTAAGATAACAGTGCAAAAATTGTGTAGAATAATGAAAATACAATTCAGGTCTTCAGAAAACTAATATTTTTGAAAACAAAAATTTTATCAGATGTAAATTCTATCTTAATTTGATAAAATGATTTTTTATTATTTTTTCTTTGTTTATTTTTTAAATATTTCATTTAATCTGTTCTCCGACCACCATCAGGTAACCAGATTAAAACCATTCTTATTTGTATCTTCATTTCTGTAATTCACAGATATTCAGTCTGTCTCCAGCCATCACCAGAAACACTTTATTGTATGTATCTCTACAAAAACATAATATTTAACATTTAAAATAAATTTTGAATAATGAAAAACTTTTCTCAAGGCTTTTATTTTAGTTTTAATTTCAAGCTGATAGATTAAATTTAATATTTCCAATAAATAAAATAGTATGCTGTATTTCAAAATTAGTTTAAATTGATTGGAAGGAGTTTTCATTTTGAAATTTCTAAATTAAAATCTGACAATTATTTGATTTTGTGAGAATTTCCAAATTAATGTGTCTATGCTAATTTATAATACATCCACTGGAGCAAGGAAAAACAAGTTTTTTAATCAAAGTTTCAAATGTTCTAAAATAGATTAAAAAAAATCTAATTAAATATTCAAAAAATACTTTGATCTTCACTGAGATTAAGCAACATTAAGCCTGGTTAGTACTTAGATGCTCACTATCAATAATATAAAGATTTCAATGATAAAGCTTAGTTTTCATTAAGTTTGGAGCATTTTTTTGTATGCTATTTTTTTTAGTGATTTTGTGGAGGTAGCTACTTTATTGATAATGGACCCAATTATTTAAACCAAAATCTACTCTCAGAAATGAAAAAGCCAAGTTTATTTCATTCATGATGAACCAGAAATAGTGAAAGAACATAAAATAAAATTCAAAACTAAACTCTTAAGAGAAAAGAAAAATTCACACCAACTTTGATAAATGCAGAAAATAGGAAAGAAAATAAAATGAAAACAATTCTGAAAAATTGTAAAACTGTTAGGGCAGATTGTTTTTTTTGTATCTTTAGATTTTTTTTTTTTTTTTTCAAGAATGATTTCTCAGAGGTTTCGTTTAGCCCATCCATCATTAATTACTATAAATATGTTGGCAGATGTCCTGTTTTCTGAATGATACAAATTTGAAGTTAGCAAAATTATACAAATTTGTTAATGAATTATTAATATTATCTGCAAGAAGTTTCAAATTTTTTGCCTTAATTTAAAAAAAAATGTTTATGTGACAGTTTTCTTTCAAAAGTATAATCAACTTTATTTCATAAATTCTTCAAATTAGTATTCTTATTGTTTTAATTGGTGATATTGATTTTGGGTTTTTCACCCATTTCTGTGTGTTTTTTGGTCTTTGGCCAATTTCTTTCTTTTTCCTTTTCCTCCTTCTAACACCCACACAAACATTGGGAACATTCCAAGCAGCAATGGTTTGTCCTACACTTTTATGTAGGAATGAAAACAACAAAGATGGAATAGTTGGACTTTTTCTCAATATCAGGTTAAGCAATTGTTCCTTGAAGAGTTAATGTTTTTTTTTTTTGTTCCAAGTTTATATTTTGCTACAATTTTTATAAATAAAAAATAAATTATTCTTTATTTTTTAATAGAAATTACAATCCCTCAGCCATTTAGCATCTGAAATGAAACAACTAATATGAGACAGAAAGGATTTCTTTTATTTCTCATTCATCAAAATGGCACTACTGAAGGAAATTAATCCACTCATAAAATATAAAGAAAATATTTTTTTGTGATTAATTTTTGTTTATTAGAGTTTGTTAGACTTTGCTCTACTCAAAACCTTTGTCAGAATCAAAAAATATTGATTTTTGTTTGTTTTTAATCATTTTAGAATTGGGGGTGGGGTCCTGTTTATAGTATAAATACAATCCCTGATTTTTTTTTTAAAGATTTATTTTTAGATTATTTTTATTCATAAATGTCAAATTTGAATCTATGCCCATGTCATTGATATCTGTGTACTACTGATGTTGTCCTCCTATTTTTGTGTTTTTCCAATTTATAAAATAAACTTTTAAAAAGCTTTCCTTTACTTGCTAAATGAAGAACAAATGGATATAGACATTTTTTTATATGATTTAAGAAAATATTTCAAACAAGTAATCCTTTGTTTAACAAAAATAAAATAGGAACATTTTAACTTTTTTTTTCAAAATTAGGAACAAACAATTATAAGACAAGATAAATAATTATTATCTCCCTTTGTTTGTGCATGTACCTCCATAAATTCAAAACTAAATGGGAAAATCTATTGTAATGTTAACAAGAAGTAAAGAAACTCACAATTAATCTTGTTATCAAACTGTTGTCACTAGGTTAGAGTTGAGAAAATCAACAAACAAAAGAGTGAAACAAAACAAGATAGAAATATTTATTCTATCAGGAACATCTTTTATGTGTATGAAGTAAAAGGGTTTAACATCTGCTAAAACATAAATCTGTTTCACAAAAATTTATTTTAAAAATCCCCAATTGAGAAAAAATATATCGGTTGTACGCAATTGCACAGCACAAGTTTCAAATTTGATATTTGTAAATAAAAACAAATGGTATGGTAAGTTTTTAAAAATATTAGGGCTTCATTTGATCCCTTATTTATATTATGCACAGAACCCCACTTCTAAAATGGCTTACAGTGACATGTTGAAATACCAGTATGATCACTGAGATTAAGCAACATCGAGCCTGGTCAGTACTTAGATGAGTGACCACTTGGGAATACCAGGTGCTGTAAGCTTGGACGTACCATTGATATAATGGGTAATGGCTCAGAATTATTAATCGAAGAGACAGATTCCAGTTGGGTTTTTGATATTCATTTACGCACAAATACCCTTGGGAAATGTATGAATCCACTCCTTCCCCCCCCAGCTATGGGTTAATTATTAAGACTTGTATCACCAAATCATTATTATCTCCCCACTCCCTCCAAAAACATTCTTCCAATCTAAAAAATATTTTCTGGTTTTAAATAACCTGCAAAGTGTTGATACTACAATCAATCAAATTCTAAAATGATGTAAATCAATATTTTTCAATTCTAAATAATATCCTGGGTAGGTAGAGGAAGCTCTAATGAATTTGAATCAATAAAAAAATTCCCAATTTATGAGCAAATCATTTTTCCTTGGTAGGACCATCCATACTTTTAAAATATTTAAAAAAAATAAAATAAAAAGGTACTGTAGAGGTGAGTTAGTTGGTGTGACTTCTTGAATTTCTTTTTAACGCAAAATACCACGAAATCTGAAACAATAAGAACGAACACAAAAAAGTTTTTATAACAAGAACAAACAATATTCATATTTACGTATGTCAATGATATATAAGCATAATTAATAGGAGTTACTTCCCTTCGACTGGGATTAGTCTTTACTAAGGAAATATTTTTATCTGAGCTCATAAAAAGTTGAATGAACTTGCCGCTCAAAATGTTCACTGTGAGAGAGTTGAAGAATTCTGGAAAGCTGAGAATATGTTAAACTTTTAGCTTCAGAAAAGTTGAAGTAGTGAATCTTCCATAATGTTTGTAATTAAGTTTCTGTTGCTTGTAATGTTCTGTACATATGTATATGTGTGCGTGTATAAATGTTTTCATAGCGTTCACCTGAAAGAGGTCCGAACGCAATTTCTTAAATGGCTACATTTTAGTAAGCAAGAGAAATCAAAAAGAGGAAGAAAGAACTTGTGTCACAGTATTTATAATAAACGTAATCATGTGATTGGCTCCGGAAAGGCATAGACAGATTTTTGGTGGAAAAATTGTTTTGAATAACGTGTAGGTGTTGTACGGACATAGGTGAGAATATTATTTTAATATTAACTGACCAATGAGAAGTGAGAAAAATATCAAGGCTCTGTGATCCACTTTTTGCACAGAATTGCACAAAAATTGACATTGAAAGAAAAGTGGTAGCAGGAGACTAAAGTACTGTGTACAAGCCTAAAAATTGCTACTTCCCACTCATGTTTCCATGGTATGCATCTCAAATAGCCTCTGGTAACTAATTCCAGCTCCAAACTGGAGAATAAGCAAACTGGAGTTCAACAACCCAGGCAGTCCATCTAGGAGAAGGAAAACACTGATTTTAAACCTCCACTGCCTTGCAGTCATATTCAAACTTGAAAAAATTCTATGGAAATAAATGCAGATTGAAAACCCAGATTGGAGCCCCAAATGTAGTTCAGTGTCATCACTGACAACTTTCCAACAACTCTTACAGCCAAACCAGCCCCAAATATAATGTTTTGTATTCCTTTGGATTTTATTGGTAGGTAAAGCCAATAGGGTTACCATGTAGTCTGGCCAGTGCACAGCCTTCATATAACATCACACAGGCTTGCACTCTGGAAAGGACTGAATTTTGAACAAACAGGGCATTATCTTTATCTTGTGAGATAAACAAATATGCCTACTAGAATTTCTAATTTCATTGATGGACTTGCAATATCCTCTTAATCAAATAAGATTACAAGGTATATTCTGCTCTGTTACAAGCAGAAAGAAACCTCTTTTTACATGCAATGTAAGTTGGCCTTTCATTATTGTGACTGACTTTAAAAAATTAAAAAAAAATTAATTATTTTTCCCCAGAAACAGAAATTATGCATTATATACATTCAGTCACCATCTTTGTTGCTATTATTACATTTCAGCCATTGTACTCTTCAGCCTTCTTCAAGCATCTGCCTATCTTGGTAACCTTCAGAGAATTTCAAACTGAAACCTACATTTAATCTATGGAGGTTAGTTTGTTCCAATTCCACTGTCAATACCTTGAGATATATTGTCTTATTATTTACATTATTCTTTGTCACCATATTACAATGATTCGGCCGTTGTACACTCTGGCATTCTATAGGTGGTTGGAATGTCAAACTGAACTCTTTATTTCGCTCACTGTTCTAGTTCCATGTGCCATGTTTAATGGATGTCAGTTATCAATTGTCTCCTGTTAATTTCCCTTTGAAAGTTCCCCACTGCCTTAGCTTGGTATTGACCTCACACTCTTTGGGTCCTGTCACTGGATCTAACTAATGCTTTTATCCACTGTGACATGTGTCCTTGAGGACATCTGTGTATGAATTTCTGGGTATTATAAACCTAATGTCTTCAGCACCATTTTTTACCAGTGCTCATATTGCAATTTTTGCTGTTATCATTGCATGTTTTTACCAGAGCTCATATTGTATGTTGCTGAAGACATTAGGTTTAGAATACCCAGAAATTCATACACAGATGTCCTCAAGGACACATGGCACAGTGGATAAAGGCTGGAGCATACAACAGCTGAAACGTTGTAATAAATATGGTGACAAACATGAGGACAATAGTCCAAATAATGTAAATAATGTACATAATACCTCATCTCAAAAATATTGACAGATATGAATCCATGGTTTATTTAAAATAAATGCAAATCAATTCACTCTTCAACATCAAAGATTCCTTTATCATTCAAAGTTGACAAATCAATCATTTTTATCCCGAGTATATTAACATTTTCTTCTGTGATCAGGAAGTCACATGATTGCTCAATGTTTGAGAGATTCATTTCTCGTTAGGAGTTCATAATTGATTGAAACTAAACTTTATTCTTATCACAATGAGGTCTCTCCTTTAAATACTTGGAATGCTCCTCCATTTTGTTGAATTGATGTGGCAACAAGTTACGCAGTATACCCCCCCCCACACACACACACACACACACATATCATATCTAGTAAAAGAAAATGGTTTGCTGGTCAATTTACATGAATCAAGAAAAGAATTTTATCTTTGTGATTAAGAGAAAAATCAAAAAGACTGTCAAGTCCACAAAATGTATGATAAAATCATTGTCGGGTCAGTGCATTAAAATTAAACAGGCCATCAAAAGCAACAATTTTCCTATGTGGAGCATGGTAACCCTTCCAAGCAAGTATTGCATATCTTCATCTCATATGGAGTGGGGAAAAGGGAGTCTTGGTCATTGGTGCTAATTTAGTCATGATTTCAGCCACTCTACTGATTAATTTTTCTCATTTTATATCAAAAAGAATTTCATGTAGGTTCACTACATTTTTCCTTCTTGGCTCACTGGCTAATTTCTGTGAAGACAAGGTTTTCATTGGTTTAAAAAATTTAACATAGGCTCACAAATTTCTGTGAAAGGCAAAAATCTCACAAAGAATCGCAAATTTCTTTCCTTCTTTTTCCTCAGTCCTTCAAATTTGAAGGGAGTTGGTTATTATTATCTCATACTCACTGCAACTCCTCTGATATTGAATAGTAGTCAGTCAACATGAAATATCAGAATTATTTTTCTTTATTATACAGCCATACTAAAAATAATCTAACAGTTGCTAAAAAAAAAAAATACAATAAAATTCTTTTAAAAAGGGTTCACATTCAAAAATGATAAAAAACATTACATTTTCTAAATCTTCAAATATGGTTTTATTTAATTAATATTAATAAATAAAATAAATTCCTGTGATGAAGAACAACAGAATTAATTTAAAAATATTAATAAATAAAATAATAAATATTAATAAATAAAATAAATTTAAAATATTAATAAATAAAAAATTCCTGTGATGAAGAGCAACAGAATTAATTTAAAAATTACACTGAAAAATTTCAGTCATTTTTTTTTTAATAGGTACTATTAAGTTTAAGCTTAGATTTTTGTGTCGAAAGAAAATAACGTAAAAATTTATGCAAGCACCAATTCTCAAAAAAGTATATCTTTAAAAGTTTTATTGTTTTCGGCAAAAGACGTGGGCTGAATTTTCCATATGTTCACACTCAATATCGCATGTTTTTTACACTGAAATATTTTCAGGGATTTCATTTTATAACTGTAAAAAAATTTAGAGACGCACATCCTTCCGCACCCCCAAAAAATTAAAAAGTAACACGCAATATCAAAACGTGGCGTGGAGTGGAACAACCCCCTCCCTCCAAAAAAATATTTTCCACATTTTTTTGAAATATATTAACCTATTCAGTAAAATATTCATTCATTTGAATGAGTCCTGAAAATTTTGTTTGAATCAGATAATTCCCTGATTTTTAATTTTGGCAAATATTTGAAAACCGGAAAACGGAGTAGAGAGTGTGTTGGAGAATTTTTGTGCTTTCATTGCAGAAAAAAAGTATCCATTATTTTTGTTTGGTGGCACCTTTATTTAATTTAGATATGAAGAAACATGCATATATAGTCAACTCACTGGCTTTTGCCGGGAAATTTGAATAGCTCAAGAAGCCCCGGGGAGCCATTCCCCCCAGGCAGTACCTCCCCTTCGGGAGGGGGCTGATGGCATTTACCAGGTCGCATAGGCTTCCCCCCTCCAAAACGGGAAAGTGCCGAGGGACTTGAGCAAATTTTCCACAGTATTGCTGTTAGTTTTTATTAAACCCACTTTACAAAAAAATAAATTGAACTTTTTGTATCACATTGGGTAACGACGTGTGGGTTTGCGGACAAAAAAAAACAAACTTTTTAACAAAAAGACAATATTCGAGTAGTACTCAATTCAAAATGGTAACTAAATTTTATTTTTTGTACTCGAATATTTTTATTTTTTGTCATTAATATTTTTTCTTAAAATCTCACTTTGGACTGAAGTATTGAAATAAAATAATAAAATAGCAAACATTTTTTTATTTTATTCACAGAGCACATGTCCCCGAAGTCCAAAGTCCATAGATTCTAAAAATAGAATTTATAAAAATCCCATGCATGTGTCAGGAAAAAATATTTTTTCAGTGTTTACACTTGTAACCTGTTTGTTTTGTTTTATTGGCCATTTATTTGCTTTTCGGGTGCGGACTCTTCTTTATATCCGGATATGACAATAGAAATAAAACCTACTTTTCCATAAACTTTCATTACAGTTTCTGTTTGGCTTTTACTTTTACAAGATGGGGAAATTACAAGAATTTAGTATAAACGTTTCGAATAATCCGTCCCTAACTTACTACCCAGGTGGATATGTGACAGGATGCGTTATAATTAAATTGTCAGAAGCTAAGAAATTTAGAGGTGAGTAAAAAAAAAATAAAATAAAATAAAGATTATACGTTATAAGATTTAAAGGAAAGGTAAAGTTTTTTTTGTTTATTGACATTGCTGATCCAAAAGAAAATGCTAGAAAAATCATTTTAAAAAGTAAAGAAAAGTGAAAACTAAATTGGTTAAATTCGAATTTTAGTAAATAACTTTTTTTTTTTCTTGTTTTTTTCTTGTTTACGTGTGATTGTTTGTCTTATTTTCTTTCGATTATGAATGGTATGATTGATCTTCGTTTCTTCTGGAAATGAACTTTTTAAAATAAATGTTTCAAAGAAATTCAAATTCACAGTAAGGAAGGCTCGGCGAAGCGGACATTAACAGTGAGGACCAGGAGTTGTTTTTTTTTTTTTTTTATAATTATTATTTTTATTTTAAAAGCTTTTTATTCAAGAAAAAAAACACTTAAGATTCTTTAAGCTGAAGTAGTGGATTTTTGTATGAAAATATCTTCTTTATTTTCATGTGGTTTGAATTTCCAGAAATAAAAAAAAAAACAAAAAAACTGAACCCTTGGTTCAGTTTTTTGATTTTTAGGGGGTTTGTGTGTTTATTTTTTAACTACGGAAGTCTAAAAAATCAAAATGACAAAGTTCAATTTTTCTCCAACTTTGAAATCGATTTGTGATGTTAAAAAATACCCTAGCTCTAATGACAGAAACTACAACTCATAAACTCAAGTTAAAGTTCATTTTTCCCGAACAAAAGGAAATTTTTAAATTATTTTTGTTCTGTTTATGCTTCCGTACATGAAAAGTTACCATTCATTTACTTACTCATTTATTTACATAAACAGATGCACTCTTTGAAAGTTACTTCACTAGTTTTGTTTTTACACTTTAAAACTTGATTTTTCTCATAAATAAAACTTTCATAATGAAACTAAAATGTGATAATCGAACAAAATAACAGAACAAACTACAAACATGATAAAAAAATACATCTTTACTACAGAAACTCACTACTTCTTTTTATTTATTTAACGAATAAAAAAGTAATCAAAATTTTACAATATTGTCACTTCGTAGGTTTTTTAAAGATTTTATTTTTTTTAATCAACTTCATCAAATTCTTTCAAACAATTCATTTATTTTCAGTCGAAATTACAATTTCTCGTTAATTTATTTTAAATTTACACTTTTTTAGTTTTAAACTATTTTTTTCTAAGAAAAAAAATGAAATATCGATTAAAAAACTAAACAGCAGACAAATTAAAAATAAAATTAATAAAAAAGATAAAAAGTAATTTCAATTATTAGTGTAAATGTAAAAAAATTACAATAGTAAAACTAAGTTTTTGTTTATTTTAGAGACTTTTAGTTCAATTTCACTTCCAGCCTGAAAAAACTTAATTTCTTTATTTGTCTATGCAAAAAAAAAAAACTTGAAAAGACAACTGTAAACAAAAATAAGTTTGTTTATTTGTGAGGAAAGAGCCATTTAGTGACTTTGTCCGATGAATGATTACATTGCAAATGGCACCACTCTTTAAATAACCATCTTTATTCTTTATTGTTGCTTTTTAATAACAACACTCTGATTTGAAACCTTAACCACTTTTTTTTGGATGTGTAAATTAATGTATTGACAACTAACGTTAGGGCAATTTGTCGGACGGAAGAGCAGAAGTGACAATATTTTTAATTTTTATTTTAAGTGAACCAGCTTATTTATAAAGTAATTCTTAAAAATTTAAATACTTTCAAAACTCTAGTATTTATCAATTTCTTTTAGGTTATTTTTTTAACGAAGATATGTACAAAGTTTGCACTGTTTTCGTCCCCAAAATTGAATCTAAAAAAGAAAAATTAATAATTGCTGTATATCTTTCACTGAAAAAGAAAAAAAATTATATTTATGAAAAACATTTAGACGCTAAAATTTTGTTTTTGTCAAGTTTGGCATCTATTTCATCATGCTATACTCTTTTTTTAGAGATCTCATGAAGGTACTTTAATTTACATTTTGCATTTAAAATTAAAAAAACAAAACAAAACAATTCCTGTAAAAATTCATTTTTCATCGAAAAAAATATTTTGGCTTCAGATTATTAAAATGTATTATTCAGAAAAGCCATTAGCTTTTTTAATTAAATAATGTCATAGTTTTATTAGTTTTTTTTTTTTTTTTTGTATTTTACAATTCAGAGCTAAAGTTTGGGTAGAACAGTTAATTGATTTACGAAAAAAATCAATGATGTAAGTCTTTTGCATTTAATAAAAACAATTACAGAAATTTACAGTTTGGGATATTCAAGTTTTCATAAAATTAAGTAAGTTGGTGTGTGTGGAGGGGGGGTAACAGATGTAAAAAAAAAAATTACCATGAATTTCTAAAACTCAGACATTTTTAAAATGATTCATTTTTTAATAAGTTCTGGAAGTCTCATTAGAATCTGACAATTACTTGATTTTCCAAATTAATGTGTTTTTCAACTAAAAAAAGCTTTAAAATCTGTCTATGTGTTTTGAGCATATCACGTGACATACAACATTATAAATACAAGTAACATCTTCAACTCTTTCTCTTTTCTCTCTTTTGCTTTCTCTCACACATACAAGATGTAGCAGTGAAGAAATCACGTTTGTCCCTTTAACGGAAAACGCTATGAAGACTTTATTACACACACACACACACACACACAACATCTATTTACTCCTTCAACTGCAAGGATACAGAAACTGATCAACTTCTAACAGTGACCTTTTGGCATCAAACAATTCGCTAAACAAATTCATGCCATTCAAATCTTTGAAGTTTCTAAGTTAGATTTCCTAACATAATCCCAAATTTTGAATTCACTCACTCACCAACAAACTACACTTCAATTTTAACATCTATGATTTTTATAGAGACAACAAAAATTCTATTCAAAAAACAGTTTGCCAAACAAACATTTTATTCAAAAAGCAACTTTGAACATTTCTTTCATTGAGACTGTACTTTATTTCATGAACTGAAATCTTTTTTGTGAGTTCAGATAAAAATATTATCTCTCAAAAGACTTTAAGAATTTCAAGATAAAGGTAGATAACTCCTGCTATATTGTTAATTATAAATGCTACATATTAGCATAACACTTTGTAACTCAGTTTAAATTATTTGACTAAATTCATTCTTCAGTTTTGTATATTGTTGATATGAAAATGTTTTATTTCTAGAAAGCACATCATGGTTTTACATTTTGGATTTGATATCCTTGTGCCATATCCAAAGTTAAATGTTTGTGGAGAAGTTTATATTCATGCACCCAAACCAAACTAAAAAAATATCCTTCTGATCTATAATTAATTCAAGCAACCATTCACTCTGCAACGAGTCTCTCTGACCAAATTGGTAAAGTACTTTTATTTAGGAAATGAGCTGCATGTTCAGGTCACATTGGAACTTAATTCTTTATAATCTGAGTGCCTCTGCTGGTAGAAGAATGTCCTTTGGTGATATTTGTGTGTCGTTCTGTTAATAAAATACTTAAATAAGATACATTTTTTTTTAAATTCAAAATATAAAAGTTCTAAACAAACAATAGTGTCTTTTTAAGAATTCCGAACATTTAAAATTCTTGCTGTTCTTTATAAAACCCTGCAATGAGATGTGTTTTTGACAAAACTAGATAATAAATTACTCAAGCATAGAGTCTCCTAAGTACAGATCTGCAGTTAGGTACACTTAGTACAATTGGTATTGTTATAGACAAATTAAAATTATAAATAATATTGACTTCCAAATTTTGAAATTGGCAAACTTTATTTTTTTCTTGTTCAGTTTTCAGAAAATCAAAAGGTATTCTTTTGTTGTGAAGTTCAACCAATTTCTTATTTGTGGTGCTTTTAAGTCAGAAATAGAACTGAACAAAAAATAATGGTCACAAGTAGAAACTGAAATAAATATGTTTTTCTTTTTTATTAAATTGCATGTAGCATAACCTAAAGTCGTTTAGTCACAGATGGACAGAAATTAAATAAATGAATTTAAAATTGAACTAAAATAAAATTCTATTTTAAATCAAATAATTTTAATTGAAATTTACAATGAAATAACATCATTTATCTTGAATCCATCTTTGAGAAAATACATAAGCGATCTTGGGAAAAATACAAAGGCATACATATTCGTGTCACTACATTTCACTGGGGATAATTCTTTCAGGCAAAAAACAAAAATTAGTCAACATCTCTAAATTATTAAAATTTTGCTTAGAAATAAACAGTTTTTAATCCATTTTTTTCCAATCTTAAAGTAATTTTTTATAGAAAAATTATTTCTTAAACAGTGTAAAATTCTAATTCAGTTTTTGCTTTATTTCTTAATATAGACATAAAAGCAAATGAGCAAAAATTCCAAGCTGACCGTCTCTAATCTATTTATTATAATCTATTCTCTATTCATTTTGGTTCTCTTAGGTCTTTCTGTGAGTCTGGTTGGTGAAGCTCATGTTAAGTGGGAGGAAACTCGTTCAGAAGGAACAGGTGAAAACTCGACAACTACTACAGAAACTTATTCTAATCATGAAAAATATATTGATCAGAAAGTTATTCTTTATGGATCAGGTAAGACTATCTTTTTGTTGCAATTTTTGAGATAATGAATTATCCTTATTATACGATTTGCTATGTACATCATGCTCAGAGGTTTGCCTTTGTACATGGTAACCTTTTTTTTTGGGAGTTTTTCTTTATCCACAGGGGTAGATGGTCTTCATTCTGCTTTTCAGGTTCAGAGGACATAACTCATCTCAGATATGGGGGATAAATCATATTAGTTACTACTTACCAGTTTTATTCACTTTTGTGTTATTTTCTGTTTCTTACACCAAACCAGATTATGTTTTAACTACTGCTTATCTAGTTGCTCCAAGTTCAATCTTTGCTGAGAAGTCACATTTTTTTTTTTAATCAGTTTCACCCAATGCAAGGCAGTAAAGCCACGAAGACACAAGGTTACTGGGTGTGGAAGAATTAGCAACAGAAACATTAATAATGAGCGAGAAGAGGAAAGAGTAATCAGGGAGACAGTAGATAGCAATTGACATTGCATTTAAATTTTTGCAGATTAAAGTTGACTGGAAAGCATGGAGCCGGAATTGAGTTGCACAAGTGAGAAGTGTGAGAAAAGAAACTGATAGCATAGAATTTACGGCTACATCTAGGCAGCTCACTGGTAAATTGATGAGATCTTGATGCCATTCTAGTACTGCACTTAAATTAAAAAAAGTCTATATACCGTAGCGAAGAGCTCATCCGAACAATAACCATGAAAGTATTTATAGAAAAGATATAGGCAAATTTATGGTGGTGGGAAAGTGACTGCAGCTGAACCGCCAAAGATCGTACTCTGGTTCTGTGAAAGAAACAGACAAGTGACACAAAGATAAATAAAACTATTGAGTATTAACTGATAAAAACTATTTCCTAAGCCTGGTAATATTCCTGTGGATTGAATAAAGAGTTCAATTTGAAATTTTGAAAATGTAATTAAGCATGGAGACAAACATCTGAAGAAGGAAAGACTGGAGGCTACAACAGTCAAATTGTTGTGACTGTAACTTCCTAGATATACATGCTGGTTCAAGTCATCATTATGTCACATGATCAGGTGTAGTTGTAGTGTTGCTGCATAGCTGAGTACCTTCTACATGTCTTGGTTAGGTTTATTTTGTTTTACAGCATATCAACCTCAATGGGGTTATTTAATGCTAACAAAATTTTTTATTGCTGGTAATATTTTGTTTTGTCAAAAATCTGTTTCTGGTAATATTTTTTCTTCAAAACTGTATTGCTAGTAATGATTTTTTCCAAAAATTGCTGGTAATAATTAATTATTTGCCCATAGCTGGGACCCTAACAAGTGCTACCACCCTGAGTCAAAGTGAACCTGGGAACACCAAGAATTAAGAGGTGGTTCCATGCTCCTCAAAACCTCCTGATCAGAGGCCTTGCTGCTGGATGTAGTTTATCGTCTTACCCAGGATGCAGATGTAGTTTAACATCGTACCCAGGATGTCTACATGGTAAGTATTCATTCATGCATAATGTGTCTTGGACAAAGTAGCCATGACAAAGCCCATCACTCTCCAGGTCAGATCACAGCCAATCTCCTTTAATACTTCTTTTGAAGGCTTGACTTGGTTATGGACACATGGCTGTTGATTGCATTGTTCGGGCTGTGGACTTCAGTCTAGGAAGCTGTAGGGTCACTCACACCATAGCAACAGAAATAGCCTTGTGTTCACAGGAAATAAAAACATGTATAAAGATAACAGTAAAGGCATGTCAAATTGTACATTAATATCATACAATTTATTTATTTTGTGTACTGGTGTGTGTACTTTTGGTTACAAGTGCTTTTAAGGTTGCATGTAATAAAAGGAAAAAGTCACTTCATATTATCACAAGCGATGTTTCAGAGAGAATGTTGAATGTGTTAACTATTCCAAGGTTGGTAGCAGAGAGATTGCATTCAGCATCTTTTGGTGGGATATCAATTTTCTGGCAGGAACAGTTTCTGTTGCATGCTGGCAGAACTTTTTATTATTTTTTATTTTTTTATTCAATTTATTTTAAACAACATTTTCATGTTATTTGTTTCATTTTATTTGTAATATCCATTATTATTATTTCATATTTTTTTTATTTATAATAATAATGTCCATACAAATCTCTCAGTAATGCCATGTAGTCATTGCTCTAGATATATTGCCACTAGTTCAGTTCTATGTGCATATTTAGTCTGTAGCTGGTTAAAACTCATTGTGGATAATTCCTTTTGGTTGAACTCTCCACTAGTGAAAGCCAGGGAACCACTACATATTGGGTTACCTGCATAATTCAGTGCATACAAATTTAGTGTAGATGATCTTGCGATCAAGGCACTCTAGGCATATTTGTGCCTGGGCTCTTAGAACATTTCACTATTCCTGGCAGAACTTCCATTATCACAGTGTGGGATATCTACTAACAAAAGTGATGAAAAGAAAAAGAAAAACTCTAAATTCCCAGCATTCCAGGTCCATGCATTTGTGTAACAAATTTAGTCTGATGAAACCCTAAAGGATGAAATGCGCCACAAGAAAACTTTTCAACTTTATCATACATTTTTCCCCAATATATATATATATATATATATATATACGGGGTGTCCATAAAGTTCATGTGCACTTTAAAAAATTTATAACTTTATTTGTATTTGCAATAGAAATAATCTGTAAAAAATGTTATAAAGTTTAATGTACCTAGTTTTAAGTATAACTAAAATAACTAATGTGATTTCAGGCATTACTGTAAATCAGTTGGCAAATGTTTTCCGTCAACTGCAAAATTGTATTACCCTTTGTATTGCTAATGATGGAAGACATGTGGAAACTTAAATAAAATTCCAATAAAACCTTAAAAAATATAGATTTACTTCTTTCTAATCCTTTTTACAAATTATTTCTGTCGCAAATACAAATAAAGTTATAAATTTTTTAAAGTGCACACAAACTTTATGGTCACGGTGTGTATGTATGTATGTATGTGTATATATATATATATATATATATATATATATATACTCAGTTGTATGGATATGAGTTTATGACCCTGAGTTTCACACTTTGTGATCATCAGTTGTCTGATGATCACAAAAATGTGAAATCCAGGGTCCCAAACTCATATCCACACAACTGAATATGTTTGTTCTATCATTGATATTGATCACTTTCCACTAAGTTCTGCACATATAAAATAAAATCTATATAAAACATACATACATACATACATACATATAATATATATATAATATTATAATTATTTTCTTTTTATTATTATATCATTATATGATTCCATCACGGCACAGTAAATGTCCATGTTTCAAAACTGAAACTAAATTTATAAATTTAATTATAATAATTAAACTTAAAAGCCATAGTCTCATTCAATTGTCAAGCGATATTAGGAATAACTTTCTAAGAAATATTCATATGAGTTGTTTAGGTTAAGGAAAATTATTTTTAATTTAGGGGTGGTTGGGTTTTAATTTCCCTAGACAGTTTATGTATCTAATATATGTTACTTACAAAGTTAGGTTCAGTTTAGGTGGGGTGGGGGGTGCCTGTTAACAAATGTATACATCAGTTATTCAGTGAGTCATCTGGGTTTTCAATGAGAAAAAACAAAAAAAATTTGCCATTTTTATTCATCAGCTTAATTCAGATTTTTATACACAAAGATTTTCTAAAAGGGTTATTTAAATATGGGTAAGACATATTTTTAATATTTAAATTTTATTTATTAAATTTTATTCTTACAGATTTAAAGTACCATTCAACTTTCTAATAACTAATAGACTATACAGTATTTTTACAAATAAATATATTAGAATTTAATTACTAATTAATAATCAAATATAAAAATGTATGATTCATCTCTATTCTTTATTATATTTTTATTCAAAAATTATTATTACTTAAGGAAAATATTTGACAGTGCCTACAAAAATAGCTATTTCCTTTCCTTGATTTAGTAAATTTTTATTTTTCAGAAACTTAATGTATAATTTTTCATGTATGCACAATGGACATGGGTCATTTAATGACCTACAAGCTGTCACTTTTCTTATTACTTTCAATTTTACTGTTGATTTCTTTTAAGTGCCAGAAATATTTAGAAAGGGACATTTCATTTCAGTATTTATTATTAAAGGACATTTGATGTTGGTTCCACCTTCTCTTGAATTCATTCCATGTGCATCCAATGTGGAATTTAATTATGTCTGGATCTTCAATAGATGAGATATTGCATTGATAAATTATTGATTCAATACGGCATTTATTTTTAAGAGGACATTTTCAAGGATTTCTACGGTTACATAATTTTTCTTTATCTTCTTTTCTTTTTATTTTAGGATCTATATGTTTTTTGATTTTGGTCTAAGTGTTTATTTAAGATATTAGCATTATGTTTCTTAATAATCATTTCTAAGTTTTCAGTATAACTGCAACTTAATTTTAGGGTATTTTTATTAAAAATTGTACTGAGTTTACTATCTCTAGGAAAATGTTTAATGATTAATGCAAGGTATTTTTGTACTATCTTATTTCTTACCATAAGTTAGGACAAAAATTCCTGACATTAATTGATAAACATTACTAGAGATAGTAAACTCGGTACAATTCCTAACATTGCTTGACAATGGAACTCCACCCCACCTAAAATTAACCCGACTTTGTAAGTAACATATATTGGATACATAAGCTGTCTAGGGAAATTGAAACCCAACCACCCCTAAATTAAAACATCCTCTTGGGAATCAATTCCACAAAGCAGTGGTTCATTGAAAGAAGCTAATCAAGTGGAACTTATATCTCACCAATGGAATATGAAAGGAATGAAGGTAGTTCACTATAATGTTCGTGGTATGGTTCGACTTAGCCGTGAAGGTTACAACTTGTGGAACTAAAGAATGTAGTCCATCTGAACACCTATGAAAATAGCAATGGTGCAGTGCTAGGCTTGCAACGTTTGGTTTGTGAGAAAGTGATTGAAAGGTGGAAAATAATTCTTTAACCACAAGGACATGAAGATGCTTTTGGACTCTATCAAGATTGGAAAGTGAAAACTTGAGAGCTCCTTCCCAGATATTGCAGAATTACTCCATTTTAGGCCTGATTTGGCTCTTGTAAATAATACAAGGAGTCAATTACTTACTGGAGTGGTACAGGTAACCAACCATTTTTCCAGCATCTCTAACAATGGATGTACCAGTTCTACTTGAGGTCTGGATTGAGTTTAAGTCCCAACAGGTGTTCAAGGCATGAAGCCTCCCTGAAGGAACACAAAGTTCTAGACCCACTTGATAATGCTGGAATGTCACTAAAAATAAATATCACATATAACACATTTTTATGTAAATTATAAAACTCACTAATGTCCATATAAATTTCACAGAAGTGCAGATAACATTCCTTGTGCACTGTTAATGACTTAACTTTAGTTAAACTTTTTTGCTTTCTTTGCATCTTTTATAAACAAGGACATTCTCTACTGAACAGAATTACATGATTATTTCCCCCTATACTATGCAAGATGTATATACTAAATCTATTTTTTAACTATTTAATCAAGTTAGCTTGATTGCTAATTACTTTATCTAAATAGCACTCGTTCCAGGAACAGTTACAAATGACTAACTTTTGTGGCAGAGTCTTCAGATTTTCCTTGGTGTACCAAATTTCTTTGACTTTAAGATCTTCTCTTTGTTTTTCCTTTTGTCTTATTTGTCAACAGTTCATACATGAAGATCTTGAAGAGATTAACATGCAGTCTTTTAACTGCCATGAAATATCAAGGACCTTTGCAACTTCTCTATCTTTTCAGCATCTCCCTCCACCTTTTCAACACTTCAATCTACGTTTTCAACACTTCCCTCTGCCTTTTCAACACTTTCTGTGCTTTTTCAACACTAACCACCACATTTTCAACACTTTCCTCTAACTACTAAATTGGTCATGTGACCAGAAAAAGAAACTACAGTTGAACTATGAAATTTCTAAAAGCAATTACATTTAAATTATTATTTCCTCTTATATCACCACCAATGTATCTACTAAATCTTAATTTTTTAAGTGTTTAATTATTTGTTAACAAGATTGCTAATTACCTTATCTAGCAACAACTACAACAATAAAATAATTAATAATCTTTTTGTAGATGAATAAAATATCAATCCTTAAAGTGTGCCTGTTATACTGTAACCATACCCCTGGGTCTCCTTCTGTCAGTCTTTCACGGAATGGACAAATCATTGAACATTGTGTTTTGATTCTCATTTTATCTGAATATTTACTACTCATTAGGATGCACATACCATATCCAGGTCAAAATCTTGATCGTTCTGCCAAGGTTCAACAACATTATTTTTCTCACCATTATCTATCTGTCTATCTAAAAAAAAAATCCATGCCATCTCTATTTTCAAAAAAATTCTGTTCAGGATTCTTAGCCATGTACGAATTTAGGACAATAATAGAGCAGTTAAAGTGCTAAACTGGCATTAAGACTAATTCCTGAAAATTTCCAAATCCTATATAGTGACCTAAAACCATTAAGAAACACATGCAAAATCAATAATGAATCAGAAAAACCTAAAATAAACTAAATACAATCTTATCAACCCTCGGGGAGAAAAAAAACCTTGCCGTTATGGAAAATCCTGAAGGGAAGAGGTTACTATAACACAACTATGAATAGGTCACGCTAAAATTACATATTCATTCTTACCAAAACAAGAAGAACCGCCATGATGTCCTACATACTAAACCCAATATATGGTAAAACATTTTCTAATTGAATGCATTGATCTTGACTCCAAAAGACACAATTTCTTCAATGCAAGCAGCCTAAAAGAACTATTTGAAGATATTAAAATAAATAGAATTATAACATTTCTGAAATCAGTCAGATTATATCTGAAAATATAAAAAAAAAAAAAAAACAGATTGTCCATTTCCCCTAAATATAAACCAAAATCAGTTTTTGGTATAAAATGACTCTAAAGAGGTGATATGCCTTTTAAAAATCCACTTAGATTTAAGCATAAAAACAATCTATTTTTGATTATAAAAGGTTAGTTGTATATTCACAAGGAAACAAAATGTCGAATTAACACCATGGGAAGAAATGAAAAAGTGAATTCTGTTTCTATTATATTTGGTTATTTTTTTCTGGGATTCACTTTACACAGTCTTGGGGTGGGAGAACATAGGTGACTCTTAGGACTTCTGTCATGACAGACTAATAAACCAGCTCTTCCCTTTGGCCAGCAAGAACTCTGACTCTCACCTATCTGTGCTCTGCCTGTCTCCACTGCATGATGCATATCTTTCAACACTTTAACAGTCAACCCCAATTCTCTCAAATTCAACTGTGATTTTGCTTATATAAGCCTGCAAATGGAACCTCTTAACTTCCAGCAAAATGGTACATGATCATGAAGATTTACATTTATTTATTTTTTCTAAGCCTTTCAGTCAGTGGTTGGCTGTTTTGAAGTCCACATTTCCAGAGCTTACTGTATACACAGTCATAAAACTACTGCACTTCAACCTATCTAAAATTATTCACAGTTCATTTTCCCTTCATCTAAAATATTGCTGTCATTTTTTTGACAGTCCCGGTAAACTTTTTGTGTGTATATATATATATATATATATATATATATATATATATATATATATATATATATATATAATGTATGTGTGTGTGTCTATGTGTTAGATATAAGCTAAGGAAATTAATACATTGATTCATTCTTTTGCAGGACCTGAATCCAGTGGGAACAATGTCGAACTATCAGCACGGCAACATGAATTTCCATTTCAATTTACTCTGCCAATGAACATTCCTCATTCATTTAAAGATAAATATGGTCGCATTGAATATTATCTAAAGGCAGTTATTGACAAAGCATGGGGATTTGATAATAAATGTAAGCTTCCACTGAATGTCACTGGCACATTAAATTTGGACACTGTTCCTAATGCTAAGGTATTCAATTTACTTACCTATCAGCAAAATGCCTTTGCAAAAAAAGATTTTTTGTGATCATCATCTCATATTAAACATTACTGGCATAGTACCCATAAAAAATGACAGGATTATTTAAGTATGGATTGGCACTTCCTCTTAGTATCTCAGGATCTGCAGATTCAGCCTAGAATCAAAGACAGTTCTCAGCACTTCCTGTCTGGGCTCAGTCTAATATCTGCTTGATCTGAGATGTTACACACACACACACACACACAATGTAACCATTGTGTCTCAACAAAACTGAAAAAAAGCAAGGTTGAGGAAGAAGTGCTAAAAGATGGTGTGAAGAAAGAAAGGTCAATAGGAAAGCTCGAGAAAAATAAAAAAATAAAAACCGGTAAGACATAAAAGGGTAGAGATATACACTGTGATCCTACATTATAAGAAAATCAAAAAAATTATGATAATTATGAAACTAATGCTCCTATAGTGATCACATGTTGGTCAAATATAGGTTGTACACTTATATGGAATATCAAAAAGATCTCCGATCATATTAAAATACAAAATATTATTTTAAAAAATGGAGTTGACCATAGTCAGGATCATCAAGTCAATACAAACAATCCTTTCCTTAGCTGCATCATATGTGCTTCACCTGGGCTACATACAGTTTTGAATTCAGAGTTTTCCTTCTCTTAGACTGGTTGCCATCCAAGGCTATAGAACCCAGTTTGTTAAGGAGTCTACCGTGGTCGGGATCATCGAGTTAATGTGAACAATATTTTCCTTAGCTCCATAGTATGTGCTTCACCGGGGCTACATACAGTTTTGAATTCAGTTTTCCTTCTCCTAGATCGGTTGCCACACAAGGCTATAGAACCCATTCTGTCCTACTATTAACCCAAAGCTGGGGTGAGGGGGGAAGAGTTGGATTCATGCCTTTCCCAAGGGTATTAGCACATAAGTGAATGTAATGAACTCGACTGGAATTTGAATCCGGCTCTCCAATTTCTCAGTCACAACCATTCCAAGTTATATGCAAACATGTCAAATGAATCAATTTGAAGTGATTGGAGGATAATAAAAGAATCTGTGACTAAACACAACAATGATTTATTCAAGGAATGACATACAAAGCAAAGTAATACCAGCTTTGATCAAATAACACAGTAGAAAAGGAAAAAAATTAATGTTTGCTGATATAATTTCTATTTTTTTCTGATGTCTTCAAGCAGCCTAATGCCTATAGACATTAAATTCAGAATTTCTTTAGGCATGAAAGCTTCTGAAACAGTCATTATTTCTTCCTAAAGTTCATTCCTGGATGAATTTTTTTTACCCACACTGATAAAGGCATCTCTTGATGATACGCCAAAGATTTCAATATGGTTAAGATTAGGCACACACCTTGGTTTCTCCATAAGGCAGTAATTTTTTATCCTTAATTTAAGTAAGAATTCAGTGGTTGTAATAAAAGTATAAACTAGTACATTGTCATGCATAAATACCAATTTTTGTGGTGCCAGTTTCTTTTTCTTGGGCCGTGGCTGAAGGTTGATCTTTAGAAATCAGTATTGGCAAGAGAGTTTGTTTTAATACCATCAAATTTCCAGGGGCTAACCAACTCATTGTCAATAATTCCTGCCTAAAATATGACTCCTCTGCCACCTTGTAGATATTCCAGTTAAGGTTTAGGATCATTTTTCTGGTACCATCCTGCATCACCTTGTATTCACCCATGAATCACGTACAGTGAAAATCTACCTCAACTCAGACAACACATTTAGGGATTTGATTCAGTTTCAGGGAAGGGCAAACAACTAGTTTGGTACTAAGCACATTATAAGGTCTTAGGTATATTTGAAACTGTAGTGGCAGCAAATAACTCTTTGGGATGATTAGGCACATCCCTATCTTCAAACGGGTTTCTATTCATCAGATAAGAGACAAACATCCACGTTATTTATTCTTTATATCCAGACTATTATCCTCATTTTTGTTGTTATTACTATGTTTCGGCCATTGTGCTCTCCAGCCTTCCTCAGGTGTATATCTGTTATATTCCGTGCTAATAGGAATATATAATTGACAAACACAGTGGATAAATAATTAAAGGTTTATATAATAACCAGTAAGGTACAGTTACGTGCACGGTTGTCGCAAGTCAATCCAGTAGTGAGTGCTACTATTGGAAGGTCAATATTTCTTGCATTAATCTGAGTCGTACTCAACAGATCTTAGCAAGTCTCCTGTAGTCTGTTGCCTTACGGATACTTATAGGTAGTTATTACCTATAATGTAGTCACTCATGGGGGTGACAGGTTATTCCATTACATCAATATTGATCTGGGAATTACTGAACTGAATCCTTTATTTAATCTATATCTAGGCATCTAGGTTTAGTTCTTTTTTTTATTTTGTACTGTTAAGTTATTGGTCACCTGTTTGCATTGAGTGCAAGTATATACTGATCAATTCAATGATTGAATTTACAACCACTATGTCACAAAATTTACAAACCAAAGTTTTTATTCACTAGGTCATTCTCCCATAGGACAGTTTGCTGCAATGAACTTAGAGCCATAAATCTAACCTAGCTTCTGATTAGGTTGCAACTGCTTCTGCCCATACTTTGATTGCTGCAGTTGAAGTAAGTCTTCAACTGCAGCAGCAGCAGCAGCAATCAAAGCATGGGAAGCAGCAGTTGCAATTTTATTTATCTCACAACCCACTGATGGGTCAGGACCCACAGTTTGAAAAGCCCTGCACCAGGCTATATGAAGAAGGCTGAAGAACACAATGGCTGAAATGTGATAACAAATAAGATTATGGCACTTGCCTGAATATAAATAATGCTAACTCCTTTACCCAGAAACTATTGATTTTTCCATGGATAGCCATCTTTTCTCCCTTTCTCACGTATGGGTCAAACACTCAGTCTTGTATCTGGAAAAATCATTGTTATCATCAAAAAAATTGTTAATGCAAAAATAAAAAAAATAGAATTATTCTTACAATACAAAATAATTCTCAAAGAGTTAATAATCTTTAAAAATTAAATCACTCTTCATGTATTTCACTTTTTAATCTGTAAAATATATTTTTTTTATTTTCATAGGTGCCAGCACAAAATCAAGCAACCAAACATTTTTGTTGTTGGTGTTGCAAATCTGGACCATTGTCAGCAATGGTTCGTTTGGACCGGACAGGTTATTTACCAGGTGAAAAGATGGTCATTAATGCAGAAATTACAAATTTAACAAATCGGACTGTTTCTCAATCTAAAGCATCACTTCAAATGGTAAATTAAATATCTTTATTTTTCACATTTTTATAAGTTAATACAAAAAAAAATAGTATTTAATTATAACAGTTATTTTTCCTAAAAAGGTTTAAATTTTGATTTTTCATTAGGGCTTTATCAATATTTATACTTGACACAAGAATACTAACAATTTTACAAGCATTTTCAACATTTTTGAATGAATGGAAGAATTAAATTTTTTTTTTCATTATTCTTAGGTTTTGCCTTTGCTTTTAGAAGGTGGAGGAATCCTATTTCTGTAATCTTTATGATGCATGACATTCAATAAACATTCAAAATGTGACAACTGACGGAATATCTGCTGTGTCACTGGGATGAGTCAAGCAAATTCTGGACATATTTCAACTTCTGCTTTCTTGAGACATGGACCAATAGGGCAGGTTGATTTTTCACTTTTTAGAAAATCAACATTGTACTCAGCATGAAAGGTGGCGTTTGATGTGATAAATAATGACATCAAAAATTAGGTTCATAGCTTTTACCAATTTCTGAGCCAATTTAGTTTTAAAGACCATCTGAAAAAATATACAGAATTTCCACAGGTTTTTCCTTAGAAACTGACTTCAAAATTTACTATTTCAAGAATAAATACAAATAAAGTTGGTATCTTTTGCATTAGATACATTGAATGGAAAATATATTCAAAGCAGAATTCTAATTATGAATCACCTCAAACAAAATATGCAATTTTTTTACTGTATTTGATAAGTAAAAACTGTATAAAAAAAAATTGTCAAAGATTACAAAAAAGGCTACTCAATAAATAAGATTTCTTAGATCATTTGTTAAATCATAATAAAAACAAAAGATAGATAAAAGTGTATATAATATCATAACACTGTTGGGCACACTTTATAAGACAAAATGCTTAAAATTTGTATTGTTTATAGCTAAAAATTGTTCGGTATGAGTTCCTTTTGAAGTAAATGAAGGTCTTATTTGATGGCAAAATGATTTAGTAATAATGTGCTTGTGCCATGCATTGTGTGCATATACAATTTGTAAAGTTTCAGTAAATTATAAATTTTATAAGGCTTTCACTGATCACTGAAATGAAATACCAACGCTACGATTTTGAACCTAAACTTAATCTTTAAACTCATTTCCTCAAAAAATGGTAACAATTTGGAAAAAATCTTTTGTCATTATTTATCATATCAAACACCAACTTTCAAATTGAGTGCAATACCATGGTTCCAAAATCGACCTGCCCTAATGAACCAGATGAGTTATTTATTGCCAAGCAGTAGAAGTTGTGTGCGTTCATATTATACTGTTGGCAAAAAATTAATGAAATCTGGAGCATCAGATTAATGTCTAATTTTGTATGGCTGTACAGCCTCTCACAAGTTTTGTTCTAGGGATTACTGGTGGTTCTGTAAAAGTCTAATGAACAAGGGTAATCCTCAATCCCTTCTCTCTTCAATCAGTTTGAAGTATTGTCATCAACTGAAGATAAAGCACAACACTTTGCTCAGAAATTCTCTTTTAACTCCACTCTTAACTCTTCAAGAGTTATCTTTACCCAATTTTCCCCCCCAGAATGAAATCTTTATATTGATTAATATGCACATAACTCAGTCCATGGTTTCTGCTATCATCACCAAACTAGATCCCCATAAGGCTTGCAGATTTGACAATATCCCTAAGAAAATGTGTTCCTCAACTGGCTCCTGTTCTCTCCAAACTACCATAAATGCTTCACTGCTTCTTGCTTTTCAGCTTGTTGGAAATCCTCCTCTGTAGTTTCTGTCTTTAAGAACTCTGGTAAACTTTCTGACCCCATGAATTATCATCCTAATTGTCTCTTACCTTTTTTTAGCAATGTATTAGAGGCTCTAATCAATGCCAAATTGGTTAAGCATCTCATGTCCCATAGCCTTATTTTGGATAAACACTGTGGCTTTCATTTATCTTGCTAATGTGTTAACGCTTATTGAATTTGTCTATCAGGCTTTAGATAAGAATGACAAGGATTAGGTTGTGGCTTTAGACATCTTGAAGGCATTCAACATGGCTTGACATGCTGGCCTTCTTCATAAGCTCAAGGGCTATAGTGTCTTTGGATGAATATTTGGCTTAATCCAGTCATTCTTAAACCATCTGTATCTGTAATGTAATTGGTCCTGACCTGGCATCTCAATTTCAGTCACTTTCCCACCACTATAACATGGCTTTGCTCTGTCTTTTTTATATTTTCACAGCAATTGTACTAATGATCTTTCCTCCTTGGTACCTCAGCTGCATGATTTTAGGTATATTAATAAATTGGCTACTAGGTTTCACTGCTTTATTGAAATGGTTAAATGTAACTGTAATTGTTCCTTTCTTTAGGGTTAGTATACTGTGTACTAATCTTGTAGACTCTGTAGAGTATAGAGCCACAGCTTCACCACACTAGGTGTTGCTGTGGTGGTTTCTGTAGCAAGTAGGTTTTTACTGGGTGGAGTTATTTGTCCTACATCCAATGAGTCTTAGATTCAGAATTTCCTACTCCAGGGTTGGTTGCTAACCAAAGTTAGAGAACCTAGTCTGTCATGCTGTTTCCTTCTGAGATGGATTCATGTTTTTTTCAATTATTTTGTGCAAAAGTGAATGCAATGACTTTGGCTAGAATTTGAACTCAGCACACCACTAGCACTATCTGTGCCAATAACCACTACACTACATGCGTGTTCTTAAGCTTAATGCTTTTGGTTATTTGTGTCCCTGACCTTTTAAATTGTTTTTTTTTTCTTTTTAATTTATTTTCATAAATTTTCTTTAGTCACTAATTTTGGTATTTGAAATAAAATTTCTTAGATTTATGGATAGAGTTGTGTACAATAGTCACTCCAACCAGAAATAATAATTTTTTTTAAATATTTTTTTTCATAACACTATAAATTAAGCAATCCACTTCCCAAATGAATTTAAAATGTTTTTATTAAATTTTATCTAAATTGATAGAGGGGGTCCAGTTCACTATGTAATTTCATTGTAAATTGATCCCCCACTATGAAAGGCAAAACAAAATATGCTACCATGTGTAAAAGAAAATAAAAAAAAATTCAAATTTGTGATCTGGATTTCTTTTTTCATGTATTATTATTAAACAACACAGATTATAAATTTTAAAAAATTATTTTTCTAAATTTTATGAAAGCATGTCATATGAGCATATTTTGTTTTGACTTTGGTAGAAGGCCGTGGGATTTCAAATGAATTTAGATGCAAGTTTCCCCACCATCTCTTAACTTTTATAAAAGTCAATTTAAATTTTTTTTTTTTTTAATATTTGTAATCTGGAGGTTAATCTACATTAACATAAAAAATATTTTTGAAAACTTGATTCTTTTCTGGTTGCAGTGAATATTGTACAACTCTGCTAATTTATATTATGGGATGTCATTTAGTTTTATGAGGTGGTTAGAGGTAGTACTGTAGGAATTAATTGCACTATTAATTACTATGTCCCCCACACACACACACACACACACACACACACACACTCTCTCTCGTATATATGTGTGTGTGTGTGTGTGTGTGTGTGAAAATATATAGGAAAGAATTTGTTAGGTAAATAATCCAAAGTTCTTTAGTATTTTTGTTATTATTTTTAAAAAACAGTACTCGATACAAAAGTAGAGCCTAAATATAATTATTTAAAAATATGATTCCATTGCTGCATAAGAGTTCTCATGTTTCAAAACAAGAGCCGGAAACTTCATTATAATTATTTGAATTAAAGTACGCATAAATTTCAAGAATTAGTTATTCCAAAAAAAATTTCACTTGAAGATGGAACAGAGCTTGGTACTTTAATTCAATTTAATTCAAATAATTATATTGAAGTTTTCAGCTCTTGTTTTGAAACATGAGAACTCTTATGTAGCGATGGAATCATATTTTAAATAAATAATATATATATATATATATATATATATATATATATATGGCCTGACAATTGTTTTTAAGCATGAAACAGACTATCATTGCTGGTTGTTAATCTCAATGTCCACTTTTATATTTATATACACTCTATCTCTGATATCAAGCTCTAACTCATAAATATAGCATACCTTAAAAATATATTTTTCATTATATGTATATATATATATATATATATATATATATATATATATAATTGCAGTAATTGTTACTGTGAAGAAAAAAAATAAGGGTATAATTAGAAGAATAGTAAAAAACGGTTGTGTTAAAAAATGTTTTCTGTCATCAAAAAATGAAGAAAATGATTTTTAATGAAAGTAGATATATAACAAGCTATGCCAAAATTCAATCGCATATAAAAGTTTAATGAAGAAGGCTGAAGAACACCATGGCTGAATAATTTGTATTATTAAAAGATAAAACTGGAGTGAAATCTGGTATGAAATTATTTTCTTGTATTATATAAAATTTTTTTTTTTTAATTTCTGTTTACATTTGCAAAAAAAAAATGGTTTTGGGCAAATCTTCATTATGAAGAATTTCTTGATTGTTAAAATTTGATAAAACATTTCTTATTTTTTCATTGGTTAAAGAATATATTTATCAAAAAGTTACCTTATAAAAAACATGGAAATATTTTTTTAAGTATACTTGTCTTTCTTTAATTTTCTTTAATTTTCTGACATCTCAATATGAAATGGAAAAAGAGGCATTAAAGAGATAAATCTCTGGAGAATTTGGCAACATTCAACATTTGATGTCTACAAAGAATTTAAGAGTTTTAAAGAACCTATAAAACAAGAAGCAGAAAATCAAAATAACTTGATAATGTGTCAGAGAAAGTTTGTTGCAGTTGTATGTTCAAACCATGTTGGAATGTTATTAGTTTGTTATGTCATTGACAGTTTTGTTGAACAGGGATATTTTGTGTTGAATAGGGAGATATATATTCATGTGATTGGTTGTTATGGAGACAATTTGTTGTGCTGTATGTAATGTGCCATGTGGTTACGGTGGGAATAAAAGTCTGTTGCCCCCAGGAATAAATTGTCTCTCTGGTGGGGAAATGAGATACATTTTATTACTGTGGCATCCTATGGTTGAAGAGTGAAAAAAGAGAAAGAGGGTTTACATTCTTTCTTTTTATACTGTTTTACATATTTTATATAGTTTTTTATATATATATATATATATAAAAGAAATATGTTGTAGTGGTTCCAACGAGAGAAAAGTATGTATATTAAAAGAAGAAGAGGTGCCGCAAACGTTTTTTGGTTGTAATGTGGATTTATTTAGAAAAAATATTATGCTTTGTTTTATATAATTTTTTAAACATAAATTACATTACAAAACAAAACGTTTGCAGCACCTCCCTTCTCTTCTTTTTAATATATATATATATATATATATATATACACATACAATGTCATAGAAATTGAAACAGCTTCTACAGTCATGTGGTCATACATCATCAAGTTGGGATAAAAAATTTTTTTACATCACTGAATTGTCTTTGCTTAAGTTTGTGTATGATGTGATCACCTTAAAATTAGGTCTTCAAAAGTCACATGATAGACGAATATATATAGTAGTTCTATTACACGTAGATAGTTGTCGGCACCTGCTAGCATTTGAGCATCAGGATCATCCTCCTTTCTCCTCATTCCCTTTCTTCCTTCTGGTGGCAGTGACAGCAATTGCGGTGAAGGCCCAGCCTCCTCCTGAAAAGTTGTGAGCAGGAGTCACAGAGAAGTGTGGGAGGTAGACACAGTTAGGCTTGTCAGGCCCTCTTGACAGCATGTCGCAGATCCTCTCTATGTTGATGGTTGGATGTGAAGGTTTTGGTCCCCCCTCAGATGGTCTTTCACCAGGAAGGCTGATTTGCAGTAGCAGTTTCCCAGCTCCCAGGGTTGAAGTTTGCCTGTGTCAGGGATGTTTTCAAGTGATTCTTGAAGCATTGTTTTTGGCCTTTGTGTAGCCTCTCACATCTGGTGAGTTCTCCAAACAGGATGATATGTGATAGTCAAGTGGAACACATTCTAGACACATGACATGCTCAGCTGAGGTGAGATACATGTAGATGGACATTGACTGAAACAATTATTATAGACTTACTTACAGAAGAAATATATGGCTGGGATTTTCTAAGCAGTAAAACAAAATCTTTTATCTTTGATTCAAAGAATTAAAAGAAAATCTATGCATATTTTATTCATTCTACAGTTTGTTCTGGTTCCAGTAAAAGAATTGGTACCAATTATAAGGAAGGCATGGTGGTGTAATGGATAGTGGCTTGGGTTGAGGAATCGGAGAGCCAACTTTGAATTTCAGTCTAATCCATTACATTCACTTACATGCTAATACCCTTGGAAAAGGTATGAATCCTCTTCTTCTCCCCCCAGTTATGGGTAAATAGCAGGACAGACTGGGTTCTATAGTCTTGGATGACAACTGGTCTACTGCAGAAAGAAATGGCAACCTACTGTGGGAAAAATCTTCTTTGTCAGTCATATATCGAAAGATACATGATCGACTAAGCATGTATCATGCATGGCCCATAACTGACTGACCAATTCTAAAATTTGAAAAGTTCATTATTTTAACATCTTTACACACACTTTTAATGAAGATTTTTTTTTAAATATTTGCAGAACATCTTACATTTAATAATTCATAAAGTTTTCATTAAAATTATGATGCTAATAATTTTTCGAATTTTTCAGAAGATTGTTTATTATGCTACAACGGGAACAAAAAGGTGTACAACTGAGATTGCTAGTCTAAAAAAAGGTTCCATTAAAGAAGGAGAGAGTGATATCTGGAATGGAGAATTGTTAGAAATACCTTCTGTTGTCCCATCTAATCTTGAACATTGCAGTATTATTGACATTGAATACACATTAAATGTAAGTATTTCAATTGGTTGAAATTTAAAGCCATGTTCTTAACAAAAATGGTTTCATTTCTTTTCAGCCATTTTTGATAAGCTTCAAAGTATTATGATGATAAAAAAATAATAATAGTTCTTGTATTTAATTTAAATTAATTTTTAAGTGCAGGATGCATAATTAGCAGCTCAGAATGAGAAACTGGTATGTCAAGTTTAAACTCTGGTCAATTTTATTACATTCCCTTTTATGCAAACTGTATTCCTTTTCACAAAAATACCCTTTTGAAAGATATGAGAATTTCTCTTTTCCCCCACTCAGCTATAGGTCAAATAACAGGGTGAACTGGAATCTTCAGCCTTAAGTGGCAACCAGACTAGGAGAAGGACAACTATGAATCCAAAACCCAACTACCTGAAGCTGAACAAAGGTTGTTAGATACAGGAAAATGGGTGTAGATATTATTTCTGTAACCTCCAAGAGAGCGACTGCTGGCACCTCTTTGGTATCACATTTTCCACTGACATGAAGAGGAGTGATTATATTGAATCAATTACTAGGATATCTACTAGGAAGGTTGGTTCACTGTGTTGTGTCAGACAATGTTTCTCATCAGAATCCATCTTGTACATTTATAAATCTACCACTCAGCTTTGCACTGAATACAGCTGTCAAATCTGGTCTGGTGCTCCAGCTATATATCTAGAGATTCTTCAAAAAATTGAAAGAAGACTATGTAACATTATCGGTTCTAACCTGGCATCTCAACTTCAGTCATTTTCCCACTGTAGTGACATGACTTCCCTGTCTTTTATGTAAATATTTTCATAGCAGTTGTTCTAACGAGCTCTCTTTTCTGCTACCTCAACTGCAATTATTTAAACATACTATGAGATTGGCAACTACATCTCATTGTTTTACTGTTGAACTAGTTAGATGTATCCATAAGTTCTATTCTAACAGTTTCTTTTCTCACACTTTTCACCTGTGGAACTCTATCGATTTCTTGCTTCTCTGCAATCTAAAATCTTCAAAAATTTAAATGCAACGTGAATCTCAATTTTCTGTCTTTTTGAATTCCATACCACAGATTGACCCAAAAGCTGTGTGAGTGAAAATTTGGCAAGCAAAACTGTTTGGAAGGCATTGATTGTTATACAAAGTCATTGTGAGTGAGGCTTTGAACTTATAGGCTGTGTTCAACTACTGATCATATCAGATTATGAAGTCTCTTCCATAAACTGTTAACTAAGGTTTGTTCAGCATAGCTGAAGAAGCACGGATGTTTCTGAGTGGGTGTCTACAACAGGGATTAGCTAGCCATCCTAGCAGATGAGTCTACTCAGAAATGAACAGTGGACTATAAAAAGTGGTACAGTCACTTAGTCATCATAAAGTCAGTCTGTAGATCAATTCTGAAAATCCATATATTCTGATCCAACAGGAACGAGCAAAAAATCATATTGCTATATGACAACATATGAATAAATTCACTGATCATCAGCCAAAAATGAACATCTGAAGATGGCCAGAGAGTACACAGTCAAAACATGTCTATAACAGTCAAAGATGAGAAGAATAATTTGAATAAATCAAAGTAAAATCAGTTAACATCATTCAATCAGTAAATAAGGAACGCCTTGCATTACATACGTGAATGTGAATGAGTTGGTCTGGTATATTTATTCTGATTTCTTTTTGTTTGTTACTATTTTCTGGTTTGCACTAACAGAAAAAGAAAAAGAAAGTTATACATTCCTACTTTTTCTATAGAGATTTACACCCTAACCAATTAATGTCCACCATAGAATCCCATATTATTTATAAAAATAAAAATCTGGTATTAATTACAAGTTCAGAAAAAATCCATTATTAATTATAGGTTTATAAAAATATTCGGTATTAATTTTGGAAAAGTGGGTAAAAAAAGAAGCAAAAGGAATTGACTAAAACATTGTTTTTATCACAAAATTTTGCCACTCTATGCTCCAGCCCTCTTCAGGTGTCTTTTGCATTCCAAACTCTTTAATAAGAACTCTTCAACTTGAAAAGTTTAACAAAAATTGAATTTTCATATTTGTGTATGTGTCTTTTTGTATAATATCTATATATAATACTAACACTCAAATCTTGTATGTATATGTGTTTCCTAGATATAGCTTAAATGATATATAATACCACAACCAATTTAGGAGCATATAGTACCTTGAACCCTTGCCAAGTGCAGTGCCATATTTTTTTATTAAAATGGTCTAGTATATGGTTTAGTATATATTATTTTTTATATAATTTATATTATTTATATATATATATATATATATATATATATATATATATATATATATATAAAAAATTTCTTTTTATTCTTCCAGTTTTCCATTTCCTGCTTTGGAGCAATGGACTTAAAACTTCCCCTCAAAATCATAATTGGGGCACAACCTGTTGGTTATTGTTTCTACCAGTGAAAACTTCAAAAACCTATAAAAATGAATATTCATTGCCTATTGAATTTATATTTTTGCATTTATTTTCAATCTTTTATTTATTGTATAAATTATGAAGATACTTTTTTAAATATAAACCATTCCATCAATCAAAATGTTATTTATAATCATATATATAAAATAAACTTACTGCACACACACACACACACACACACACACACCTGATGATAAAAGCAGATGTTATCTTTTTTTATTTATTTAATTTTTTAAAAATTTGTCACATATTTCCTACAGATTCTACCTCTTTCCTTTCAATGCTCAACAAAAAATAAATTCTATTTTCCAACATCATTCATACACCCCAAATCACTTCTTCACACATTTGCTTTTGTTAAGACAACATGTCAGGTAATCCATTCTTCAACATTCAACCAATTTCCTTCCTCCAGAAACAATCTGAAATTGTATTTTATTAGTTATTACATATGTGACACAAACACCATGAGGAATTTCAGTTGGTATCTTAGCCAATCAAAAAGATTATTTTAACATATATAGGATTAACTGGTGGACCTTGGAAACAGAAATACACACACAAAACATACTTTACCAATAGTAAATATTCAAAAAGCACAACCCTTTCTAAACATATATGGGAACCAAAACAAATTATTAAATAAACAGTCAGAACTTATCTCAAAATGTGGTTGCAAAAAACAAATTTTTAAATGCAAATATATGCACAATATACACTGCAGATAATTAACATACTTTAGACAAAGCCAATACTTTAAACAAATAAAATAACTGACCACACAAAAGGAAAAAAATAAGTAAATAAATAATAAACAAATTAACAAACTATACAAAATACCCTAAGTAATCAATAACAAATAATGAGTTAAAAGTTAACAACCCTATCCAATAGCTATAGAATAACCACATTCTTATTTCTACTCAAAAGCATTTAGAATCATTTAAGATATAACCATTCCCTCTCTATCCAATAACCATTAGAATAACAATAAACCTGACCTTGTTAGCCATAATGCTCCATTGACCAACATACAACAATAGTCAAACTACCATGCAACATACATGGCCTGAAGGTTGCATTTGCAATTTGGTGTTGGCCTCAATATCCAGCCTTATTTCATATATATATATATATATTATAATAAAAAGAAAGAACAGTAAGATATATAATCTGGTGTTCTTATTGATTTTTTTTTTATTTTTACAAAACAGTGCTCAATGTAAATTTACAGAGCATAAATATTATAAATTAACTGATTTAAAATATGGTTTCTTCGCTACACAGGAATTACCATGTTTCAAAAACCGAAGCTAAAAACCAGACGACATGCATTGAACGGATGTCAAAATTTGTTGAAAAATGCACCCCTACCCTCCCTAAACTTAACCTCTTTTTCAAACGTAACTCATAATTGATACAATAATAGTTAATAAAAATGAACACGCTACCGCCCCTGTCTAAATGATTGGATTTCTCTGTATCCTTGGAAACAAAAAATTATGAATTGTATGTGTGTTTAAAACTCAGTAAATTTAAAAATAATTTCTTCCAAGATTCGGTTGGAGATGAAACAGAACTAATACTTTTAATTTAGTTATATAATTAAATTTGAAATTTTCCAGCCAATTTTAATCAACAAAAATTTAAATGCAATGCCAATCACTATCTATTGTCCTGATTACTCTTTTCTGTTTCCACTCATTATTAATGTTTCTGTTCCTAATTCTTCCACACCGTGTAACTCCTTGTGTCTATGTGGCTTTACTGCCTTGCATGGGGTGATACTGATTAAAAAAAAAAAGATATTGTGCATACTTCCCCCTATAAATATAGCAAATTTGAAACAATAAAAAAGATTTCTGTAACAAATACTAAAATTTAAAAATTTAGTTAACCTATTTAATAAGCATCTATAAATAGTGTTCTGTCAGTAACATAATAATATTCTTGTCTGGCCCTGATGAACAACAACATCATGTGTTGCGAACATTTTATGTCCATTCTTTTATAGTCCCAAAACAGAATCACTTAATGGGTATCTTGGCCGACTAGGTGCAAGTAAGCCCCATAAGGGACCATTTTTTTTTCTATCAATCTTCATAAACAAACTTATTAAGCTTTTCTGTAATAACAACTAAAATTAACTGCAAAAATTTAGTGTCAACATATACTAAAGCTTTTTAAACATTTAATTTACTAATGGAATTAATTGACAAATTTTGCACCTGTTGTATATTTTGAAGATTTTCAATAATTACCACATAATTGTACATAAAATATTAAAGAATAATTTTTATATGAAAACTTCTAGTGTAATAATGATTTTAAAGATTTTTTTATTTGTGTAAGTATGTGTTTAACCGTAATTAAAAATAGTTCAGCAAAACTGAATGTTGTAAATCAAGCATGTCACTTAAATTTTATACAAGATTTTGGTAATATTTTACAATTCAAAGGTAACTAATTTTTTGATAAAGATGGCAAAATATCATAAGTGATCTGAAGTGTCTGAATTATTAACACTGGATTATTTTATGGACATTATTGATATGGCATTGAAAAGCATTTAGAAGTTAAATAACAACTATATTTTTTGTAAAATTAATTCCTTTATAATAAAAAAATATAATTTTGTATTATATTTTTATTAATACTTTTGTAATATAAATAATAAAATATGTTTTTATAAAGATGGCAGTATCATGGCTGATCTAAAATATCTGCATTACAATGTTAAATTACTTATAATTTATTTTTATGCCACTGAAAAGTATTTACAAATGTCAATAAAAAGAATTCTCTCAAAAATATCAAAAATGAATATAAAAAAGAGAAAATCTGTGATATAGCTGTTGCCAACATTTGGTCTATAAAATTATTGCTTCATTGTTTGGAATAAAATATTTATTTTATCTTAAAAAGAAATCAGAGATAAAATATTTTAAATAAAAATATCGATTACTATCTCTAACTTTTTCTCCGTTCTCAAGTTAAACTTATGACTTTCTCATGTCATAGTATAGCATACCTTATGATTTTCTTTTCTTGACATTTTCTTCCTGAAATATTTTTTTCTCGTCACTACTGAATTAAAAAAAATATATAAAAATAAAAAAAATACAGCTCAGATATTCAACTCAATTTTGTTGATTTTTACATTATGATAGGCATCCAATTCTGATTTTTACCTTGACTTAAAAGATGACCACTGACATCAGTACAAAATACACAACTATCTTAGCCATCAGGTAAGTTCTTTATAACTGAAATAATAAAACAGTCAAAAATGAAAAAAATAAATCAACAAAAAACAATAAAAAGCAATAAAATGAATCATTTTACATTATGTATGTGGCAAGAAGTAGTAGCAGAAGTGGCAAAGCAGATTCATCTGCAAAATCAGTCCAAAACAAAACCCCTGACAATAATTTCAAGATCCCTTATAATATAAGCCTTATATGAACCCAAACAGTAATATAATTCATTATTATTAATAGAAAATGATAGGCCTTAATAATAGTCATCTTTGTCTGACACATGGGCACAACATTCAAATCACTTCACTTTCTATGCCCTCAAAATGATATACAGGGTGTGCCGAAAAAAGTATGTATACAATTATTTAATTATTTATATACTGATGTGAGTTTTTGGTTTATAAAGCTATTGTGAACAATGGCAAATAATTTGAGTTGAGAATAAAGAAAGTGAATTCTAAATAGTATTAAAAAAATTAAAAATGCTGAGGAGGTAGGCAAAGCAATGAGAGAAGTATTTGACATTGTTCCACCAACATAACTGACAATTTATCATAAAAGATAAATTTGAAAAAATAGGTTCAGTGGTTATTACACCGATAGGATTAACATCTTAAATCATTCATAAAAACCCCAAATCACAGGCTCCAAATTTAATACAACAACACATTCTGATTGGCTGAAAAATATCAATTATGTGTCATCAACTACTTCTGAATGTACTGACCCTATTTTTGACCCAAGCAAAAATACATTTGCTCTAAAAATTCTGGAGCCTACCACGTGATGCATATTGTGTATTCCTGTTAATTTCCCTCTGAAAGTTCTCCACTGCCTTAACTGGGTATTGAACACACACTCTTTGGGTCCTGTCACTGGATATAACCAACAATTCGTTCTCAAGGTTGCATGGCACAGTGGATAAAGGCGTTGGTTAGATCCAGTGACAGGACCCAAAGAGTGTGAGTTCAATACCCGGTTAAGGCAGTGGAGAACTTGGAGAGGGAAATTAACAGGAGATAACTGATAACTGACATCCATTAAACATGGCACGTGGAACTAGAACAGTCTACCCCAGTGAGCTAAATAAAGTGTTTAGTTCGACATTCTAACCACTTGAAGAAGGCCGGAGTGTACAATGTTGTAATAACTTATTACAACGTTTGACAATGTTGTAATAAATATGGTGACAAATATGAGGACAATAGTCCAGATAATGTAAATAATATAGACCACATTATACTTTATTATACTATCTCATGTTCACACATGTTATTCCACAACTCAAGATCTATATAATAAGAACATTACTAAAACTCAAATCCAAACATACAAAGACATTTGAATGTTTTAAACAAATTTTTCAACAAATGTTTGTACCTTTTGCTATATAATAAATGTCTATTTATTGTTATGCAGACTCTTGTCTTGAATGTTATTGTTCTCTTGTTGTTCATTATTTTGTTACATTTGCAATAATATACATGCGTAAGGGATTATTGATGTCTATGGATAAGCACACAAGAACTCCCCCCCCTACATACCGAAATCTGTACATCCTCAGACATCTGTGAAAGAAGAAAATAAGACCAGTGTTAAAAATAATTGTAATAATAAATGTTTTAATATAATAAAAAGGTTTTTTTAAAAAACCTGTAAAGTGTATACCTACTATTGGCCCATCTTGTATTTTTCCTTTTTTGCTTTAATATTTCTTAAAGGAAATCAGTGTCAAATCAAAAGAAACATTATAAATTGAATAATTTTTATATCTCCTAACATCAAATCTTTTTTTTTTTTTTTTATTCAATGTGAAGCAACCACCCAAATGTTGTAAATATAACTGTAAGGATAAGTTTACAATTAAAGTTTAATTGCATGCTTATCCTTACATTTATATTAAATTATATTTAATTATCAAGCACAAGAAAATACATTTTCTACATATTTTTTTTTTACAAAAATAAGAAAATTATCTTTAACAAGGGAGATAACTCCAAATGACTTTTTTTTTTTTTTTTTTTTTTACAGCGATCAACGTAGAAAACGCCCTATGACCTTATCCAACCCGCAATACGCGCGTGCGTGCGTGTGTGCGTGTAAAAATTCAGATAAAATATATCTGTAAAAAGGATAACATGAATAAAGACAAAAGGAAAACTTAGCCGACGCGTTTATTCGTCCCTAGATGAACTATAAAGGTGTCCTGTTGTCTTTATCCATATGGTAGATAAAGTGAACATTGAAGTCAACACTCAGAGGCGACAGGCTGTTTCATGCTAGACGAAATCATCAGGCCACCGACGATTGCGTCTAGCATGAAACAGCCTGTCGCCTCTGAGTGGTGACTTCAATGTTCACTTTTATATTTACATACGTTCTTTCTCTGATATTGAGCACTTTATGCCATAGATATGGCACACCTTAAAACTATATTTCTTCATAACTGAATAATTAAATACTACCTTTTTTTAAAACTGTGAAAATTTCCTATTTGAAATTTCTAATGAATCTTAATTCTTCAGTTAATGCTTCAATAAGCTCATGGCGAGTTCTGCGACAATAAAATATCTGTAAAATTTCCCCTATCACATCGTTAAATATTCGAGCTTAACAACTTTAATAAAATATTGCAAATGCAGTCATAAATGATGAATGTTGGTCGATATTTTAAGATGTAAGGGGATACAAATGAAAAGATTTGAAATTGACAACTTTCTCCATTTCACTGAAACAGACATTAAATACTTCTGTTTCCTTCTTTCTGTCAATTTTTCATTGAAACCAAGTAGCGTCTTTGATACGTTTTTCGTTTTCTCTCCCGATCGACGGAATAGTGCATCATTTATTGACAGGGTGTAACTAGAGGAACAAGCACAATTATCTATCTATCTATCTATCTATCTATCTATCTATCTATGTGTGTGTGTAGTGACTACTACTATGTTTGCCACGCCTACATTTTTCTCAACTGTGATTGGTTAAATAATAAATACTGATTATCACAGGACAATTTACTGATCGCAGTCACCACACTGAATTTTTCCTACCGTTAATTTACAAACATGCTTTTGTTATAAAATCACCGATTGGTTAATTTTTCATCCGATCAGATATTTTTTGTGTTCTTTCAAAAATTCTCCCGCCTTTGTTCCCGGAGCCTACCGGTAGTAATAAAAGCGAGGTTTCGTTCCAAAAATGACAGTAGAATTCCGCAAGTCACACGCGTCTACACAGACTATTCATTCTACTCACTGCGCACACACACACACAGAACTTGAATTACATTTCATCATCAGTTCTCTGTGAAAAAGCCAAGTTACACACAACGCTGTTAGTTATACAAATAACGCATAACTGAATTAACTGTATGTTTTTCTGAATACAACATTCTATTCAAGAAACTTCCTTAATTACACTTATTCTTATTCAAGCTAACAGATAAAGGGAAACTACTTTTTCCTCCTTAATATCCACACATTACAAAAATTGTTTTGTATTTGTTGATTTTAATATATATTTTATCGTTGAAACAAAAATCGGAGATAGATGTCTTTATTAAATGATTTGAGTGGGGACAGAATTCTTTATCAACTTTATCTTAGGGGGCAGAATATTTCAACAGATTTATGGGTGGGCAAATTTCTTCATTAAATGATTTGGTAGGGGGGGGGTAGAATTCTTCATTACCTTGTAGCGGACCGTGGGTTTACGTGTTGTTAAATTAGGAACACGTGTGTAACTCCTGATAAAATATTAAAAGGTCTACAACTAGAATATGGCGGACTCAACTTGAGTCCAGCCGAAGATGTAAAGTAAACAAACAAGACCGATATATATATATATATATATATATATATATATATATACAAGTATATGTCTTAAACGACAGAACTTACAATGGACATTAAAATTTGTGTTTGTGTGTGAACGTAAAGAGTTTGTATTTTGGTGAATGTTCGTATGCACGTGCATGTGTATAATGTTCATGGTGTCTTCCACAAATGGGAAAACGCAATCTTCTGCGAGAGCTTACATTGTAGATATGCTCGCTGAAAATGAAGAAATGAAAAAGAACGAGGCAAGAAATCACCCAGTATTTATAGTGCAGGGAGAGCGTCCCCTAGTGAACAATTTGGACAATTAAGGAGGAGTTAACTCCGACAAACTGATTTAGGAGGATAGATTTAACTGATTTAGGAGACAAAATTCTTTATCAACTACCCTACGGTTAGGAAGATTTCTTTATTAGCTAATTTATGTGGGGGCAGAATTCTTCATCAACCAATTTAGGTGGGGGCAGAATTCATACATCAACTGATTTGGGGGTACAAAATTCTTCATTAACTGAGCACCTGATTAGAAACATGATTACTATCAATGGCTACTTTGAATATCACGCGACCTGCTATGTTCGAGTGAGGAGACACGTAAGTTGCCAACAAACAAATTTGTTTGTTTGAAATTCTGAGATGAGTTGTTCAGGCGAATATCCTTACCTTTGTTGTTTAGCACATTACGTTTTAGCCAATCAGCTTTGTGGGCTTTCTTAAATTATTTTCGCAGCTGGCATATCTATATTTTCATATAGATTACTAATCAACATAACAAAGATTTGTAAAGTGTAAAAGAACGAACAGTAACATTACAGCGTTCAGAACATTAATTTTAAAACAGTGCTCAATACACAAAATAGAGCCGTAAATATTTATTTATTTTATGAAGGTTTTCCTTTTTTCGACGTTGAAACAAAAATGTACAATTTTGTAGTGTGATATACTGCATAAGATATATATATATATATATATATATATATATGATGGACTCTACTCTCCCGCCGTCTTCGACTTTTGAGGGTCCAGCAGCTCAGTCCCTTAGAATCGAAATATCCATACTTTTTGGAATAATTGAATTCAGAGAAGGTTTTCAAACGACCCTCCTCAGGTTCTGAATTCAGAGTTGTCCTTCTCATAGATTGCTTGTCAGTCAAGGCTGAAGACCCCAGTCTACCCTACTGACCTATAATTGAGTGAAGAGAGGCATTTGCGCGTAGGTGAATGTTAAGAAATCGACTGATAGTCGAACTCTTCGATTTCTTATTCCGAGCTGCGTTATCCATTACACACCCACCCCGGATACACACACACACACACCGTATACATACATACATACATATATATATATATATATATATATATAATTATTTTATAAAAAAATTTATAACATAAGTATGTTATAAAATCACTACAAAAATAGCCATTTTGTTTCAACACACTCTGTGTCTTATCAAGTGATGGTGATGGTGTATTTTTGTAGTGATTTTATAACATACTTATGTTATAAATTTTTTTATAAAAATAATTATATCTGCTCTACTTTGTATTGAGCACTCTTTTAAGAATAGTAATTGTTGGTTATTGGAATTCATTCCGTGTATACCAATTATATACTTTGATATATATATATATATATATATATATATATATATATATATATACGTACGTGTGTGTGTGTGCTTGTGTGTAAGGTGTATTTCGGAAGCAATAATTCAATCAAGCATGCTTGGGTTAGACAAGTTCCGTCTATCAATTTTTTTTAAAAATCTTTCAAATTTATTAATAATCTGTTTTGTGTTATCGGTAAATTTGCCAAAATTCATGAAAACGAATGTAGTAATATTCGAAAGTACTTGCTGAAAATAATATAAAATAAAAGTTAATAACTTAATATGAATTTTGGCAAATTTACCGATAATACAAAACAACTTGTTTGGAAATTTGAAAGATTTAAATTAAAAAAATTGATAGACAGAACTTGTCTATATTATTAACACTAAACATATTTAATTTATTTTATTTATATGTGTATTGAGCAATTTTTAATACTACTGTTTATTGGTTTAATTCAACTGACCATATACAGGTAATCGATCCGTTAGTATATAATCCGGGTGGATCCTAGTAATATTAATTATTATATAAATATATGTTATTATGAAATATTATTGGTCAGAGTTGAATTAGACCAATAAACAGTAGTATTAAAAATTGCTCAATACATGTATAAATAAAATAAATTATATATATATATATAATCCGGGTGGATTCTAGTAATAATAATTATTAAAACTGATCCACAGAGAGTTCGATGTTTTTTGGGTTTTTTTTTATTTCAATAGAACATATGTATTTTTTACAGCAAAAAAAAAAAAAAAAAAATTACCTCAACATAGGAATAGACTATTTCAAACTGTTCCTTTACGGCTTTCGTTAGGAAAGGTTTGAAATATTATTTTTCCTATATTTTGAACCATTTTCCTGATTTCCGGTAAATATTTCAATAAAAACTGTCCAATGTTAGAGTACTTTCGTCTTTTATTAGGCATTATAAAAGATATTTTATTGATGATGTTGTGATTACAGTTTTTAATCAATTGTAAATTTATTGAAAAACCGCGAATGAAGAGTAGAAATGGAAGGAAGGAAGGGAGGAAGGATCTTCTTAATAATACCGTTCCATCAACCATTCTCAGGTAGGAGGCTTAGAAAGATGTGGGTTACAGAAAAAATTTAGGAGATCAGCTGATCACGCTACCTTTGCTTCAACCTTTCGGTATCTACAGTATTATTTAGAAATTTTTAGCCCGGATCGCCTGAAGATACCAAAAGGTTGAAACCAAGGTAGCGTGATCGGCTGATCTCCTAACGTTTTTTAAAATTCAACAGCTCTGCATGTTAAATTTTTAATTTATTTTATTTATACGTGTATTGAGCAATGTTTAATACTACTGTTTATTGGTCTCATTCAACTCTGACCAATAATATTTTCGTAAATATTTATATAATTATTTAAACACACACACACACACACACATATATATATATATATATATATATATATATATATATATATATATATATATAAAAAGCACCATTTCTCTTTCCAATCCCAGGATATGTTTTTGCGCGTAGTCTGAAAATATCCCGTCATTTAATAAATGTAAATTTTCTTAAAGAATTTAATTCCGTTATACTGTCGTATATACGTTGTTTGAATACTTTACGTTTTTATATTTTTTTGTTTGGCGCGCGTTTAGAAAAAAATCTCATCTGATAATTATCCTCTCATAGTAATGTTGCAATCTCTGAAAATTAAAACTTGCTAATTGTATATACGTATCTTTAAATTGCTATGAATTTCCACTTAATGTTTTATTTATAAAACTAAAAACATAAAAATAATTTTTGGTCGATACGCACGAATGCTAATAACGAACAATAAATTAAAAATGTCTGTGAAAGTAACTATTTCATTTAATCACGGAAATCGTAACTGTTTTGAGAATTTTAGAACGATATGTCAGACGCTCTGAACAGTTGAAAAATGTTGTCGGTTCATAACGGCTGAATGTTCATATACCTCCGGCGTTGTTAAGCAGTCACGTCTTGGCCAATTAATTAAATCACATAAAGAAAGACTAAAGTTTAATATATGCTTTAACAGCATGAATTTTGTTCCGGACAATCGATATACATCATCTTTATATGTTGGAGACTTGCACCCAGCAATAACCGAACAACTGTTATACGGTGTGTTTTCCTTCTACGGAACTATCGTTTCAATTAAAGTCTACCACAAGCCTTCCAAAACTCGGTCGCTAAAGTATGCTTTCATCAATTTCCTTCATCCAACGCAGGCTAAAATGGCAATGAATCTGTTAAATTTTGAACCATTACTTGGTCAGCCAATCCGTATTATGCGTTGGCAACGAGACCCATCCTCCAGAAAGTCTGGTGAAGGTAATGTTTTTATTAAAAACCTTGACAAAAATATCGATAACCGTTCACTCTATGATACCTTTTCTCTTTTTGGCGAGGTTTTGTCCTGTAAAATTGCAATGGGTGAAAGCGGTTCTAAAGGAT